TTGTTATAAAATTCATATAAAAAACGTAAAATTTACAAAAAGTCTATTTTCTTTCTGCTCTTCTGATTTTTTCGTGTTTCGTAAACTAGACTCTAATCCTAAGGATCATAGATAAAAAAGCATATAAATAGATATCTTTGAATATTGATAAAAATAAAACGACAAAAACTTTGTTTAAAATCCATGGATAGATATCTTTGAAGATTTGATGTGATGAATTGATAAAAAATTAAAGAAAGTGTTGATCAAAAAAATTTACACTGTCGTCTCACTTCATCTTCTTCAGAATCACAAAGGCAACTCTCATTGTACATTGTATCATCATATAATATTCACGCTCAGATCTTTCAACCACCTTAGTCGTCCTTTGTGGTCTTAGATTGTTTCAAATCGGCTTTATCAATAGATGTTTATAAGAACTAGGTTGAGAAGAAGTGTTCATCTGGTTTCTTGAAATCTCCTATAATGAATTATTTTCACTTTTGAACTTAAGAGTGAGATAAACCTAATTCCAAACATTCATACAAATTGGAGCACAGTAAAAAGAATTTAGACCCAAAACGCTCCATTGACTTGTGAGTAATATTCCGTCAAACATATGAATTTTTGACACAATGAAACTTCTAACTAATTTTTTGAATGAGTAAATTTTTGTTTGTATTGTGATTTAGTAAAGTGAGGCAAAACACTACTGGAGTAGTTAAAAATAATAATCTGTCAAATAGAATCATGTGTGCAATCACTGACAGTCCACAACCGTCAGACGCATGCGCAGACTACGCATTTTGACTGTATTTATTATATTATTTTAATTTTTGCCACATCTCAGCTGCTTTTCGGCAATAATAATGTAGACATTACATTCTTCTTATTTATAATAATCTTAGTCTATAAGTGAATAGAAATAATGTTTGGCAAATGAGTCTTCATTTGTTCTTAATGTTTAACAATGCTAAAAATATTTTCAATGTCAATCAATGATAAGCAGTTTTTTGTCATTTTTCCATTTATTTCTTTAATTTAACTATATTTCTATAAATCAAAAAATCCTAAAAAATTCCCTTAACAAACTTTAGGCAGATTTATCAAAATCCGAATAATCGTTCAGGAAGATTACGCTTTCATACCCTATTATAGAAGAATTTTAAATATAAGATAGAATATATAAGAAATAATTTATTTTCTAAACCTATTTCATAATTTTCTGATTGAATAACCAACCTGACTGAAAATATATAAATAAATATATATATACAGTGCTGGATTTACAGTCGGGGCTACTGCCCAGGGCGGCAAATTTTTGGGGGCGGCAAAATTTGGATAGTGAGAACAAAATTCTATACCATATAATTAACTTATTTTTTAATAACATTTTTTATTTCAAAAAATATAATTAATAAAACATTATACAAATACAATGTAAAATTTGGCAATTTGGCTAACATAAGGATACGTAAATGAGTTGAAAGTTTAAGAAAAATATGTTCTTCAGATCTCGAGCCCTTTTAAGATGACGAATTTGTGCACTTCCAAGCTTATAGCGCGGAAAAAAATTAAATTAGTGAAGCATGGCATTGTGCCTTACGGCAAGTTAGTGAAACTTTCCGTACTGAAAATTACATTTTATAAAAAGCTTTGAAATTTTTTGAAAAATAATGAAAATTGAATTTAAGAAACCTTTTTTTTATATTTCGATTTTTTTTTTTGTAAATTAATAACTTTTATGTATTAAATTTATTGAAATTAAATTTTATTTGAATGATTCGATTCCTATTGATAGCGAGACGAGCTGATTAGTTATTGGTCAAGGCAGGTCCCAAAAATAATAATTCAGTTTTTGAAAAATGGAACGTCCAATATCATTAAAAGAAATTTACATGTATAGACAAAACGGAGAACTGATTAAATTTGTGGGAGGTCTAGCGGTTTCGATGATCCAATAAAAAATTTGAAAAAGAAACATTTGACGGTCAAAAGTGGTCATTAAACATGTGCACATCAAATTATCATATATTTTAATAATAAGTAAGAATTTTGTTTACATTTTACTATGGGTTCTGTATCATTATTTATTCGTTATTCTGCGAGGCGACGCTTACGCGCTTCTTTATTTTGTCTCTACGCAGCTAAAGCAGGGCGATCGCTTTAAAAAAAGTTTTTTTATTTTAATTTTTTGTACGGGAATTTCCAGCAATTTGCCTTAAGGCACGATGCCAAGCACCACTATTTATAGTATGTAATGCGTAATAAATTTACTGCAATCAAATAGTAATTTTAATTTTAGAAAAATGATATGTAAAAACTTTTTTGCCTAAAAATTCAGGGATGGGGCGGCATTTTAATCATTGCCCCAGGGCGCCAAATTTCTAAATCCGGCCATGTATATATATATATATATATATATATATAATGTATAATATATATATATATATATATATATATATATATAAGTATATAATTTATAAAATATATAAAAAATATATTTATATATTTTCAGTCAGGTTGGTTATTCAATCAGAAAATTATGAAATAGGTTTAGAAAATAAATTATTTATAATATATATATATATATACAGTAGGCCCTCGCTTTACACGGCACTCTGGGTACACGGTTCCCATACTACACGGAGCTAAAAATGCGACATCCCTCCGACTACACGGACTTCTTATTACACGGTATTTGGTCAACAGCCCATAAGTTCGTTGTGCAAAAGGGTATTGATGTAAATTTTGTTATTGATTTTTATCTTTTAGGCATGCCTGTTTATATAATAGCTGCCTAAGAACACGTTTGAGCTGACTACTGCGTCGCGCCAATTTTTGAATAAGGTGTCAATCGTGTCAATGCCCTACATGTCATTTCGTCCGTATTACTCCTACTTCAAGTTGTATTTCTTGGTCTCCATACAGCACGATAAAAATGATGCGATTTGTACCAACTGTGAGTCTCTCATAGCACGGATCCCATACTGCACTATGTAAGGTTCCATAGAACGCACTACGAATTAGCCTGAATTGTATGTTAAATACGAGTTTCTTATAGCACGATTCCCATACTGCACGGTACGCACTTGCCGCGTAAAGCGAGGGTTTACTGTATATATATATATATATATTAATTTGGAAATATGAACAAACAACACTCTTTTTTTGCACTAATTTATTAAATAATAATTTTCACAAACGTTTCGAGACTAGGTTTGTCTCATCATCAGTGTTATAATTTAAAATTTAAAATATGGAAATCTAAATTAGCATTTTGTGTTAACCATTACAAGTCGCTCGATACAAGTCTTTGGTCTTACCTCTGTTATTGTAAAATATAAATGAAGAAAAAATACAAGAAATATAAATTGCAATCAGCTTCTAACCTAAAAATGAACTTTTTACTCCAAAATAAATATTAGTTGAGAGAAAGCTCAAATCATAAATGTGTTTCTTGTCTGCTGTGCACATTGTAGAATGTACAATGGCTTGTTGTCACCTGTTGTGTACTTGCCAAATGTCAAATTATGTGAGCATGATGTTTACCGGCGACGTATTAAAATATCTCTTTGAGCAATTATAATTATTTATTTACAAATTATTTTTAAAGTGTGTTAAATTTAAGTATAATTATGAACTTTCGCGCTTTAACAATTAGACTTAGAAGATACTTTTTCTACTTAAGTTTATCAACGATTGTGTTTTTGACATATATTTTGATTCAAAACTATGACTATCCTAAACAGAAATTATTAAAAAAGGGTACTACAACTACAGAGACTATAATAGAGTTTAATAAAAATTCTGCAACTGCAGAAATAGAGGAATACGACAGATATAAATATAGGATTAGAGTTATTAAAGAAAAGATAAAAAGGCTTTCCTATACTAGTGATAAATTGTCAATACAACATAATGATCAATTAACTAATGTTAGTTATAAAATTCACGCATTTTATTATGCTTGGTATAAAAGCATAGATTTTGATGGTGCTTGGGCTCATTGGAACCATAAATATCTACCTAACTGGAATAAAAATGATTTAAAAAAATATCCAGTTGGTGCTCATAATCCACCTGAAGATATAGGCTCTAATTTTTATCCGCAATTGGGTTGTTATAGTTCTAACGATCCACAAATTATTAGATCTCATATGAAATACTTTAAAGTAGCAGGCATAGGAGTTTTGGTTTTATCATGGGCTCCACCAAATTTTGAAGACTCACCTGATAACAATTTGAAACAAATTTTAGATATTGCTCTTGAAAATGATATTAAGGTTTCTTTACAAATAGAACCATACAAAAATCGAAATCCTGAAAATTTTGTTAAATTTTGGAAAAATTTCATACTCAAATTTGGAGATCATGAAGCCCTCTATAAAATTAAAAACAAGAGATTTAATATACATTTACCTTTAACTTACATGTATGATTCATATCTCATAGAATCTAATGACTGGAAATCAATTTTTTCAAAGAGTGGTTTAAATACTATTCGTGGAACAAAATATGATGGCATATTTTTAGGATTACTTGTTGATGCCCAACATAAGACCCATATAAAACGTTCTGCATTTGATGGTTTCTATACTTATTTTGCCTCCAATGGATTCTCTTATGGTAGTTCTTGGAAGAACTGGAATTCCTTGAACAGATTTGCAAAACAAAATAACTTGATATTCGTACCTTCAGTTGGTCCAGGATATATTGATGTCAGAGTTCGACCATGGAATAGTGCAAACACAAAGGATCGTTCTCATGGAAGGTAATACATTCAATTGTAAAATTTGTATGAAAATTTATATATTGCATTTGAAAATTTGCAGATACTATGAAACAGCTTGGCGTTCTGCTGTTAAGAGTGGAGTGTCATTTATATCTATAACAAGTTTTAATGAATGGCATGAAGGAACCCAGATTGAACCGGCTGTTTTTACCTCAGGTTATACCAGTTATGATCCAGAAGAATCAAACTATTACCTAAACTTAACACGACAGTTCATAAAACAAATGCCATTCATTGGTTAAAATAGATTTATGAATATAATTTTATTAACCTTCATTGTTTCAACATGTTTTTGTTAAAAATTTAAATTTCTGTCAACATCCATTTCCATGCTTTTTCACCTGCATTTCATTTAAAAATGAATTCCAAATTTGTGGAACTAACTATTTTTCTGTGACGTTCACTTAAATTTGGCTTATAATTATGATTATAACCCATTTGTAATAACCGCGCAAATGATTTAAAAGTGGCTCACTTCGTACCCCTTGCAGCATTGCTTTTCAAAACTTTTTAGGTTAACATACTGTCAAAAAATTTGACTAGGAAAAGTTAATATGTTGTTACTCTAAAAAAAAATCTAATTATACTACGCATATATCAATTAGTAATTCAAAAGGATTATGTTATTTGAATATTGGTAAAATGAAGTGTCACTATGAAGTGTTAAATATCTCAAGAGATGCAGATCAGTCTGAGATCAAGACAGCTTATAGAAAACTAGCACTTCAATGGCATCCGGATAAAAATTTAGATCAACCAGAGGTTGCAAAGGAACACTTTCAATTAGTTCAACAAGCATATGAAGTTTTATCAGATTTGCAAGAACGGGCTTGGTAACTGAAAATATGAAATAAATTATATTGTCATTATTGTAAATAAAGCAATTTTCTCAAGGTATGATAATCACAGAGAAGAAATATTGAAAGGTGCACAAACAAATTATGAAGACAATTCTTTGGATATTTTTCAGTATTTCACTTCAACATGTTTCAAAGGATATGATGATTCTCCTCAAAGCTTTTATTCCGTCTATTCCGAAGTATTGATATATCATTTATTATTTTTATAATTAGTTATCGCTTTGCATATCATTTATTACAATTTTTTTTAGGTTTTTTCAAAATTGGCATCAGAAGAAATAGAATATTTAGATGACCCTGAAGACTATGAAAATATACCGATATTTGGCAATTATCAGAGTCCTTACGAGGTTGTTAAAGCGTTTTATGCTTATTGGCAAAGCTTCTCAACTAAAAAAAGTGAGTAGGTTCTCATAAATATATATGCTCACTGATCACTTTTCTTATCATTCAAATAATATCTTCTAGGCTATGCTTGGTTAAGCCCATATAACATAAACGAGACTAGGGATAGAAGAGTTATCAAACTTATTGATAAGGAAAATAGAAAAGTTCAACAAAAAGCCCGCAGAGAAAGAAATGAACAAGTTAGACAGCTTGTTCAATTTGTAAGGAAGAGAGATAAGCGAGTGATAGCACAGAGAAAACTTGAAGAAGAACGTGCTCAACAAAATAAAATTAAAGCAGAACAAATGAGAAAGGAGCAGATTCGGCAACGTAATCATGAATTATCAGCTCAGGTGAACAACTCAATAGTAATGGATGATTTAGAAAGTAAACTAAGGTAATTTTAAATATGGTTTAGATATCTGTATTAATAATTTTAATTATAATGTACCAAAATATAATTATCATATGGCCTATAAAGTATCATATGTACCAATATAAAATGTCTTAGTCAATAGTCAGTTTTCGCCTGCAATAATCAGCACATTAAATTATTAATTGATTTCTTAATAATTATAGAGAAATCGAGAAGAATTTGTTAGATGAATTTGGAAACTCTGAAAGTGATTTTAGTGAAGATTCAGATAATGAAAATCAAAGGAAAGAATATGATCAAGATATATCAGATTCCACTGAAGAAGAAGAAAATGAAAGTAATAAACAAGAGGATAATGATATGGCAAATAATTTATATTGTGTGGCCTGCAATAAATTATTCAAAACAGTTAGTTCATTTGAAAATCATGAGAGATCTAAAAAACATAATGATCAAGTAGCATTGTTACTAATTGAAATGCAAAATGACGACGCCGATATGAATGATGAAGAAACAAATAATTGTGAGCATTTTGACAGTTTTGATTCTGAAAGTAACAATGTAGTTTTATCTGATGCTGAAGAATTATTAGATATAAAGCAAATTTCATCCGATGGAGAAGTGACACAATCTCCCATATCTAGAAACAAAAAGAAACAGAAATTAAAGGCAAAGTTAGCACAAACAGTGATTAATTCTGATGAAGAAATTGAAATTTTAGATGAATTTAAACATAATTCCAGTGACAATGACAATGAATGGGAATGTAAAAGTAGAACGAAGGTGAAGAAATCTAGAGCAAATGTTAAAAAGAAGGTAAACAGTTCTGACCAATCCAATATTAACACTGCAAATACACACCAGGATGAATTAAAAAATTCAAGGATGAATAATAAAACAAAAGTGCAAGATAAGAAGCAAGATCTAGAAAATGACTTGGATACTAATCATATTTGTGTAAGTTGTAGAGGAAAATTTGAATCAAAGAATAAATTGTTTGCACACTTAAAATCATCTGGACATGGAGTAGCATTAAATAATAAGACGGTTACAAAAAATAAATCAGACAAAAGGTCTAGACGAAAATAGAATTTATTTATTCTATAAGTATTCAGAAACTTCATGAATAACAAATATTATGTTTCAATTTATTTCATAATATATATGATACGATGTATTAGTTGTTTGTTTCTTTTGAGATTTAACTTGAGATTATCATCATTGGAAGTATTTAAATGCAATTATGTTAATAATAATATTTTAATGACAAGTGTTTATCACTTTTGGTAAAATAGGTGTATTATTTTTCTATATTTCAACTTTTATTTGATTGAATAAATTATTCATGTATTTTTTAAAAACTCTGCAGATATTTTAGCATAAGTTAACTATTATTTAAACATCTTATGTAGAATCAAACAAACATATTATATATCGTTAAAAATTTATACCTTTTTCATTTTTTTCTACAACTGGCCTCATAGATAAGGAAACTGACTGACTTCTTCCTATATACTCCAATAATTTGGTAGTTTTGCGCCGAAAGTACTCAGGAAGTTTTGAAAATTAGTAGTCTTGTAAATTTCGAATTTCATCTGAGCTATCGTTGGTAAAATGGTGACAAAAAACAGTTTTTTAACAATAACTCTTTATGGCTTATTTTGCGATAAAGGTATCTTCATGCGGAATAAACAAGAGAAATTTTTTTATATTTCATTCAATATCCATTTTTTTTTTGTAAAATCAATAGTTTTAGTGTGAAGATGCCTCAAAGTCTTTCTGCCATATTAGGCCTCCTTGTATTTGCCTGCTCTCTTTACTTGAACGCAGTCACAAATAATTGTTTTCAATATTAAATTAAGCAAACATATATTTCAAACATGAAAAAATACTGAAAACACTAAACTAAAAATTGAAGTAAATAATAGAGAAATAGAGGAGGTGGAAAGCATAAAATACTTAGGACTGATAATAAATGAAAAACTGACATGGACCGAACAAATAAACAAAATAAAAAGAAAGATAACTAATTAACAGGGGCATTGAAAAGGATCCACTCTTTCGGAAAAAAAAAAACTAATTCTTAAAACGCAAATAATACCTATAATTTTATATGGAATAACAACATGGAGCCAAACAACTAAAGCAAACCTAAATGACATACAGAGAATAATGAATAAAGCCATAAAAATAGCATATAATTTACTACATCTAACACCCACCAAATACTTACAGAGAGAAACAAATAATCATTCACTAAATAACATAATTAAAATAGAGAAATGCAAACTAATACACAGAATGAAATTTAACCGAATTAAAACAAGTGCAACAATAGACACAAATCAAGATATACATGAACACTACCCTAGACAACACAACAATTTTCACATTGAACGCAATAGAAAAAAAAATTTGAGGGAAAATGTCATATGGAGTGCTACCAAAATATATAACAAATTGCCAGACTATATTAAGATGACCAATGATAATGATAATTTTAAAAGAAAAATAAAGAAGTACTATAAGGAAATTGAAGATAAAAAAGACTGAAGAGTTTATGTCTATATATATATATATATATATATATATATATATATATATATAGATTATAGATCTATGTTTATATAGATATATAAATATTTCAAAACTACCTGAATACTTTCCTGGCAACAGCCTTTTTTGCACCAAATAACTGAACTAAAAGTGTAGTATAATTAGATTGATAAAACTAATCTGTCAATGCACTACGTAGAATTTAAACTGTATACTATACAAAGCTGAATTTAAAGCTGTTTTATTCATATTCTACTAGAGCTATGTATTTGAGAGCAATGAAAACTTTATAAACACATGCCAGTTAAAACAAAAAGAACACTGACGCCTAGACAATATAATAATATGTTGAGCACTAGCTAGACAATATGAGAATAACACATATTCATATAATTTATTCTGGATGTAGCCGATATTATTATATTGTTTATTATTATATTTACTTGCCGTTAGCTCAAATGTTCGTTCGTTGTACAACGTACACGTACAGGATCAAACTGTGCGTCACTGACAGATGTCAAAATGGTTTGGATAGGTTAGAAATTATTTTGACAGTTCTGAAAGTGTCAGAAAGGAACTTTTAACTCCTATTTTAACTTACCCCTTACTGAATAAGTAATAAACATATAAATAACTGTAATTTGTTATAAAAAGAGATATAGAAAAATCATGTATATCCATTTACATTCTAAAAGTTGTTAAAATTAATGCATAAGTCTCGGATCATTCAGATTCTACTGAAATGTTTACTCTACTTCATGGATTTTTTAAATATTTAATGCAAAAGGATGAATATTGTGTTTTGATACTCGGATTGGATAATGCTGGTAAAACGGTAATTTTGATTTGCATACACAATTTATATCAAATTCTCGTAATTTTAATGACTGTCTATATGTATAGACTTATTTAGAGGCAGCAAAAACAAAGTTTTCGAAAAGACAGAAAGGCATGCATCCCAGTAAAATTACAACGACGGTTGGCTTGAATATAGGTCAAATAGAACTTGGTGGGTCTAAACTCAGTTTTTGGGACCTCGGAGGGCAGCAGGAGCTACAATCTCTTTGGGATAAAGTATGGTTTTGCAAGTTTTTAAATAGTATTGAAGAACTTTGTAGATCTAAAACTCTTTTTTTGCATAACCTTGATTTATTCTGTAATTTATAAGGAAGAGATTATGTTGCAAAATCATGTGTTATCATTTTTTATAATACTGACCATTTTTAATAAAATATATTATATATTATTGCTATATCTTTTCATTAATAAAATATTTAAAAATAATCATCTCAATAGTAACTGGTTTTGTACTACAGTTTATTTAAAATTATATAACATTGTATATTATTCTCGTTTATTGATCAACTCTTTCCTAGTCTGAGAAACAATTTATTAATTGAAAATTAGGAAACATTGTTTAATGTGTAAAATCAATAGTATAAAATTCATCTGCAAGATTCTTTTTTGATTGAGTCAAGTTTCTTTTCACAGTATTATGCAGAATCACATGCTATTATATATGTTGTCGATTCTTCTGACAGAGAAAGAGTTGAAGAATCAAAAGCTACATTTGGTATGTACTAGATTTGTAACACATTTATTCTACTTTTCAACTAATTTTTTTTTAGATCGGATGATTTGCAATGAATTTTTATCTGGAGTACCACTATTATTGTTGGCTAATAAACAGGATCTACCTGATTGTATGGGTGTTAGAGATATTCGTCCTGTATTTCAACAAGCTGGCCCCCATATTGGTAGACGCGATTGTCTTGTTATGCCAGTATCTGCTTTAACAGGGTTTGTTTATTCTAAACATATTGCTATAAAAATTCCTTAACATTAATTACTTCTTAATATTATATTATTATTTCTTATTTAGTGAAGGTATTGATGAAGGTATTCGTTGGCTTTTGGATTCTGTGAAGCGCAATTCTGTTGTTCGCCCTCCAAAATTACAAGATGAGACTTAAACAATGTATTTGCACTAAATTTAAATTTTATTTTTATATACAACTATTAAAATATTTCATTTAGTATTAATGAGTTTTGATTTTCAAACAATAATTAAGACTTCAGTACTTTTCAAAATATTTAAATAACAATATGAATTATTCTTTTTGCTTTTCAATTATCGATTTCAAGAAAATTTGTAGCTCTTCACATTCAGTTTTATGACAGTATCTGTACTTAAGTGATTGAATTAAATCCATTAATAGTTTTGGACCATTTTGACCAAGTGATTTCAGAGTATCTGAAACACATAACAATTTATAATATAAAATAATAATAATATAAAAATAATATACATATATATATATATATATATATATATATATATATATATAAGTGAAAATATTAAACTACTTACTGAACATAACTTCTCGAATACTCGGGTCACGGTCGTCCATATGCAAAACAACAGTCTTGTATATATCAATCAAATAAGGTTTTCCAACAAAATATGAATCATCATTATTAACATCTTCTTTTTTTGTAGTTCTTTTATTTCCTATCGCTGCTACAGATTGTAATGCTTGCGCTGCACATGCTCTAATTTGATGTTCTGAATCATCTAATCGTTTTCCTAAAGCTTTAATAGACAATTTTCGAATAATAAAAAATACGTTACATACATGTAATGCTTCATTTTGTTTAGGCTTTTTACCTATGTATATCTTCCCCAAATCTCTTGATTCCAAGTCATCGGGAAGTAAAGCAATTACTTTTAAAGTGTACAATCTAGTCTGAATGGAATCATCTTCCAGTAAAGTTATTAATAAAGGCACCTGTTTTGAAAGCAGCAACGTTGACTGCAAAAAATAGTTGATTCTCAAAATATGGCGGAACGGTAATAGATATTTGGTAAAGATATGAATTTAATTCAATATTCAGATCTCCGATTTCTTCCAGTGATATATGATTTACAATCTTGGCGCAAACGAATGTTTATTTAGAACCATAAATAAAAATTCAACATTCAAACCAATAAACATTTCAATTATTGTATATCATCATCAATAATATCCAACATTTTTAAAACAAATCTAATTTTTATTATTTGTTCTAAGACGTGGTGTGAAATACTACATACCTTTGTTGAATTCTGTGCTAAAGTACACAAACATGAGGCAGCAGCTGTTCTACATGCGTCCGCTACTTTTCCCGGAGCCCAGACTAAATTTGGAACGATTATCACTGAAATTTTTGAAATGAGTATGATAAATTTAATGAGATAGCTATAAAACATAATGTGATACATTTAGGAGCAAAAACAATTACAATAATTAATAAAACGTATTAACATTGTACGATCGATTCAGAATTTTAAAATAATTACACGCCGATTATAAAGTTTAACAATGATTTACCATCAACAAGTTTCTCGAGTATATAATTGTCTCCTTCGAACGATTTCCAGTGTAGGAAGACCAGTGCGAGACTGGTAAACATTCTTATTTTAATTTCTGTCTCCATCTGTAGAATGCCTTCTAATATGATGCATATAATATCCCAATATTTATGCAAAACTTCAGCACAGTGTTCCAAAACAGTTTCTATGATCAAATAATCTACGCTGCTTCCCGTAAAATTATCCGATTTGGTCAATAAAGACTGCAAAAGAGGTCTCAAATGCCGAGAGTGCAAATCTTTTAATTTTTCCATTGGAGATACTTGCATTAAAGCTCCTGATGTAAATAAAAAGATAAAGATAAAGATACATTAATTGTAATGTAAAAATATATTATATATATATATATATATATATATATATATATATATATATCAATACCTCAGCGGCTTTTGCTGATTTCTACATTCAAACGATAATATTTTAATAAATAAATACTTAAATTGAAAGTTTTGTTAAGTACATAATAAAATTTAAGTCCTTATTATTTATGATAATTTACACGTTATTTGAATATATTTATTTTTAATATCTTTACTACAAAAATTATACTGATAATTAACAGTTAGAAAAATGAATTTCCAGTAAGGTTTTTTTAAAGGTGTTATTAAAGAACATTTACTTTACTTAAGCAATAATTGTATTTTGTAAAATTGAGATGATTACCTGAGTACTTATATTTTGTTTGCCAATAGAGTTGCATGTCTTGATTTTTACAAATATAAAAAATATAAGCTGCTTTGCAATAATTTTTTATTTACAACTTTTCGAAAAAGTTTGTTTTCGTCAAAAAATCTGATTTGCTAATTTGTTGTTCTGGTTAGAAACGGTAAAGCCCAAGGCAAAATTCTAAACTTGGATTATTTTTTATAATACACCCGCTTGTCGTAGCTCTATAATGTTTTAGTACTTATATTATTTCAGATTACGAAATCTACTTATAATTATACAAAGTTTCATCAAAATTGTCATAAAATTTCTTTCAACAATCAATTACAAAAAACAGCCCAGATGATCTTTACCTAAAACTACATTAAAATCGATTGAAAGTTGTGAGTTAAAACGCAGACGAAAAGTGTTTTTCTGCTAATTCAAAAAAACGGCTCGGCTGGTCGTCGCGCTGAATTGACTAACGCTCGTCCTTATTGATTTACTTGTAAATTTTCGACGAAAGGACAAAAATTAGCTCGCATATGTATAAACACACAAACTGGGTATCATTCGACTCAGAATGACTTGAAACATCGAGAAAACATAAATTAGCGAATCACATTTCTACGCGATAACAATTTTCTTTTTCGGGAAGTTGAAAAAAAAGTATATCGAACTGACGAATAAATATAAAGTGAAACTGTTGATTATATTATATTATCCAGTTTAATATAATTTTGTACCATTTAAAAATAAAAATACGTGAAAAGTAAAATACTGTAATACGCCGTTTAACGCCTATCGTTTAGCGCTGTTTCGGTTTAGCGCTCTTTTATTTCAACCCAGGTTTTCAAGGGGTAAATGAGCAAGATGTCGAGGAAATAATTCAAGAAGCAGCGCAGTCTTTCTAAGGGTGAGCTCAAAGAAGGAACTAAACAAGAAGAAAACAAAAATGTTGACAGCAGTGATTCAGAGGAAATGTAAAAAGAATGGATGGTGTTGGTAAAAATGAGTATGTTTACCGTCAAAAGCTTGTAAAAAGTAGTTTGTCACAAAACGGCATAACACTGAAAACGCGGAAGGCTAACTAAATATGACTGATTTAAAATGTTATTTGTTTTTCCAAGAATATTTGTTTTATTATTTATATTTTGTCTTTATTTTTGAAAGAAATAATAATGTGGTATTAATTTGGGCTTAAAGAAATATTTTTTTTTTAATTTTTAGTAAGAGTAACATACTTTTTAAATTTAATACCGAACCAATTTTCTAGCCGTCATCCCCTAGCCCCAGTATTTCCATGATTAGACTATTCTGAAGATAGCCTCGATTAGCGCTGTTTCGCATTGCGCTCTACTTTGATGAAACGTATCCCCCGCGTTAAACGGGGTATTCCTGCAAATGCATATTTACCTATTGCCTTCCGTTTAATATCGTCTCTGTCACCACTCAGAGCAAGACTAGTCATGAGTACGGTATACAAATTAAATTCCATTTCCAACATTGCATCATCAACTAGGCCCGAATCCTCATCTGTTACAGGAAGTAGGTTTTTGCAAACATTGATTAATTCAATGATGTACTTTGGCTAGTAAAAAATGAGAATGATTCATTATTTCATTTGATTTGAATAGAAACATTCAAAATATATTTATCCAAAACATATGCTGGGCTCAATAAATCAGTTAAGGGGCACAACTAGTGTAACCACCTAAAAAAAGGTGATGTTTGTGAACTTATATTAAAAAAACTACTTTATCAATCATTTCAAAATTTTAGGAATATATTTATACATGATTTAAGAATACATAGTAAAATTTTTGAAGAAAAAAATTGAATATTTTTTAAGTTATCGTCGATCTCCAACGGCGCGACAAAAAAAAGCCCTTCACTGCTGCAGTGATTCCGGCCTTCTACATGAACGAAATTTAAAAAAAAAAAATCTTGTTAAACTAGATAATATTATCTGTAAAATGAACTATGATAAAGAAAAAAAATCAAAAATTGACAAAATGACGGCGTTTTTTTAAAAAAAAGTCGAATTTTACCCAAAATTTTGGTCGTTTTTGGACCGCCAAAATTCGATTTTTGATCCGATCCAAAAATAGATAGTTCATTTTACGGAGAACTATATATAGAACACGTAAAAAAATTTGATAGTGATCGAATCATTTATTTTTGAGTAATCGCTGCAGAAAATTCGGAAAATGCTGTTTCGAGAAAAACGCGTTTAAAGATTAAATGATCGTTATACTATATACTATATATACTCTTTAAATGGCTGTAACTCAAAAACTATTAAAATTTTGGTATGTTATTCTATTGAAATATGGAAAAATTGAAAATTCGATTTTTTGAAAATTTCACACTAGTTGGGCCCCTTAATGATACGATTCATTGGCTTTCTAATTCTAATGTTCTAATTATTTACTCAAAACCGGTAGGGTAAGTTATAGTAATCGTCCAAAAATCTAACTTGAATTTTTTTTGCATAAACAAGTTATTTTAGCATAAGTTTGTTTCAGAGGGTTTTGAACATTTTGGCATGCCTTGGAAAAAATTGATGTGTGTATGTTGTGAGTGTATGTATCTGTGGATACAATTGCTTGTCCACGTTTCAGGGAAAACTGATCAACCGATTTGAATGACAAATATTCATCAAAAGAGTTGAAATAAGTATTAATTTAATTTATTTCTTGTAAATTCGCTTTATTTTAATATTTTTTTTAATTATTTTATTTTGAGATAATGGTGGTGGACCGCTCTACCCTATGAGAAAAATATTTAAATACCTTTCTAGTTTGACAAACATCCTTGGCCACCAATAGTGAAGCTATATGTTGCCTATGAAAAAGCTCAGTGTGTGATCCTTTCAAAATATGAGCCAAAAGCTTAAGATGCGATGCGGTGCAATCATTTTCTATATGCGGTTCAATCAATGGTCCCCAAGTCTTGTAAGGAATCAAGCATCCGATGATTTCACATGTTCGTTCCATCTGAAGAATAATCGGAAAAATTATTTATGAAATTTACTTAATGTAAAAAGAATACAAAAGGTAGAGAAGTACTCTCAATCGACTGAGGCAATATTTACTGCAATACCAAGAGTACATCGAAGCATGTATTGATCATATTTTATTAAAATACTAAAAGTAATTTAAAATTAAAAGATTTTAAATTTTGAGGTTCAACAAACAGTAGAAGCAATAACAATAAAGCATTTTTTAGAAAATAATAAAGAATCAAATAATAAAAAAATTATTATTAAATAGATTAAATATAAAAATAAATTAAATAAGTTAAATGAATCATATTATATAAATAAATGTTTCGCATTTCTGGGAATACTTTACTAAATCCAATTCAGTATAAATATTATTTTGCATTATATTACAGTAGAACCTCGATTGACCGAACTACTTGTTGTCGATAGACATTCGGATAATCCGGGAAATCAAATGTATAAAGAATAATATTGTGTATCTATTAAAAGTAACATAGATATCAACAAAATAATCTTTATTAAGAAATTTAAACTTTCTTATGTATGTACACATATATTTTCTTAGATTACATTACATACATATATCGAACTGCAGCATTATTCACGTAAAAATTCGAATTGTAGGTATGTAAGCGTAGTGTATATATAGTAGGTATTGTAGGTATGTATTTATAAGTATGTAGGTAGTCCAGATAATCGCAAATCCACATAACTGAGGATAAACGAGGTTCTACTGTATTACATTTTTAATACATAATATAAATGAACAAAAAATGATTGAACTGATTAAAATCAAGATACATTTTTAGAAAAACATGTGTTTGTGGCGCACAAAACTGTTATGGGCATTTATACTGTAGAGAATTCTCATCTATTATTCCAGATTACTTAAACTTTTGACAATTATTATTCAATAATTATTCATTCTGTTTTTTCTTTTAGAATCTTATTTTTTTTTTCAAAATAGTCAACTACTTACCTCGTAAATAACCGCCGGCTCTTTTGTTAGTAAACCCTTCATTATGGCATCTATGGTCATAGGCAAAGCTTGAGTAGCCCCCTTTTCTGCATGTAAAATACAAGTAGTTAACATTTTTGCGGCTCCCAGACGCATTTCTGGTTTCCATTCGCCCAATTCACGCGATATTGGTGGCACTAGACGAGTTATATTGCGTTCTATAAGAACTCTGCAGCCCAAACTTGGTCGACTATCTGCAGAGAAATGGTAAAGGTCATATACCAGATACCGTATTATGTATAAATTTTATTTATAGTAAAATGCTGGAATTGTGTATATTGTTATTGAAATAAGTAGTCCAAAAGAGACAAGTATACATATATCTACATTATACGTATTTGTTAGATTTATCACATTCTGAATAAACTTACGTCCTTCTGGATAACGATCAGGGAGAACATTAGCCAAATAGTCACGACGATCTTTCAAATCTTCTTCGTTTTCTTCTTCATATTGCTGACCAACATGCCTCCAAAACTGCCGTGCTGCATTTGAAACCATTTCAGCATCGTCTGTAAGCCTGAAATATAAAATAATATGCAAAATATTTGTGTAAAATGCCCCAAGATACCGGGGGTAATTGGTATATTATAACACAGCTTTGAATGATAGGCCAAATTCAAAAGTATATATTTCCTGATTTTATAAAAATTTTTATATTTAAGTATATTTAAATATACAACATGATTAATATATTCATAATTTTTTTAAGAAGTGCACATAAATTTTTCTTAAGACAAAATTTATAACCAAATACTGCACAGTAGTCTTTAACATGGCACTTCTCTTTACCACAGTTTCATATTAATTAATTATTATTAATAATTATTATCATATTAGTGTATTATATTTACAAAATTAAGTGAATATTTTTATTTGTTTAACTTTTAGTATTGGCATTGGTATTTATATTTTCACTTGGCAAAATATGGAACTTATTTTTTATTTAAATTTAAAAATGTTAAGAATCTATAATAAAAAACTTACTCCTAAATAAGTAACACCGAGTGAAAATTAAAATCCAAACCCAATATTAAAAGATATATAATGAATATCTCACTTAATTTTGTGAAAATATAATAATATTTTTCAAGCAACGCCAAGCATCTTTTTCTAAGATATCAAATAATGGCTTTTTTGTCCAAATATGCTTTATATATAAGAAACTATTTGGTATTTATTGTTAGTAGATTATTAACTTCCCGTAAGGTAAGTTATTGTAATATTTTTCGACGTTTTGAAGGTTTCTGAACATTTTGGCATACCTCAGAATAAATGGATGTGTATGTGTATGTATGTATGTATGGATACAAATTTCCAAAAAACATTCGATTCCTATTGATAGGAAGATGAGCAGATTAGTTTTTGGCAAAGGCAGGTCCAACAATTACGGAGATAAAGAGCAAAGAGTGCAGAAAATAGAAATCGAGTTTTTGAGAGAACGGATCATCCGATTTGAATGATCTAAAAACATTCAATTAGTAATGATTGGGAGAAGAGTTTATTGGTTTTTGGCAAAGGCAGGCCCAGCCATTTCGAAGATACAGAGCTAAATGTGTAAAAAATGGCAGTTTTTGAGAGAACTAAGCGTCCGATTTAAATTATTCAAAGAACTTTCTGCTTATCTTAACAAAATAATTTATTTTGGAAAAAAATTTTTTTGTTTCAACTTTTTTTTCAACCAAAATTTTTTTTGTATATCGGCAATAATTCAGATTTTATTTTTAATTCTGACTATAGTTCTAATATACTTTAAACAAATAATTTCAACTTTGCAATTCAGTTTATATAATTCTTATAAATATTAGACAATGTAACAATATTAATAATAATCTATTCGAAAACATTCAGTATTCCTCGAACATTTCGTTACGGTACGGGAAGTTTCAATTTGTCTTAAGGCACGATGCCATACACCCCACTAATTTTATTTCACATTTACACATTTCTACTACTCTCATACTTTAAGCATGGCGCACCAAGATTTTTTCTAACAAATCACAATATGCAAAAAACTGAACAGATAAAAAGATAGAAAAAATTGAAATATAAACTACTTATTTATTGTTAAAATACGTTGCTATTTTTAAATATAAAATATATGTATTATGCAAAACTTACCCTGCAAGCAATAAAGGAAGTATACGATGCCAATATGAGTATCGATCATTATGTTCCAATAACATTTTGTAAGCTGCTTCTGCAACTGCTAAGCGAACCAATGGAGATTGATCCAGTAGTTTACCTCCTAATGCTCCCCAGCATTCGTCTACATTTTTAGCAAACATGCATACACGACCTAAATGAAATTATTGACATATAAGTTACATGTTACATATAATTTAATTTAGTTTAGAAGTTTTAAGTTTTCCTTACCCATCGCATCCACCGCCAAAGCCCTAACTTTCTGATGTTGATGTCCCATACATTTGATCAATGGCTGTATCAAATCGTCTGCTCTTTGATGAAAATCCCTCTGCAAGTATTGAACCAATTTCAAAATGATCTTACAACTTTCCTGTTTCACCATAGAGTACTTGTCCAATAATGTCTTTGACAATATGTCGATAAACGCATCATAAAAAGGATTCAGTTGATTCTTATTAGAATATTTTTCGATGATTTGCATCAATAACTCCGTAAGTTGATGTCGAAGCTCTTCAGATTGCTCAACAGTTTCGTGTTTACCAATTCTTTGCATAATGAGCGGTATGATGTATGTTAAATAATAGTTGTTAATTGGTAAATGTTTGATGAAGTTGGAAGTAATCTCAATGCATTTCTCTCGGCAACACTCAGCTTTATCGGAGAAGGATTTGAGCAGATGGAGACGTAAAGTTTCAAACATTTTTATCAAACCTGGTTCCGATAAATAGGACTTAGGACCGAACAATGTGTTGTTTATATGATACAATGCTTGTTTTCTCTCCGGAACGCCATCCGCTTGAAGATTATTCAGATACGCCGAGATGTCGATTTCTTCGTCCATTTTTGAATTTTATATATTTTTTGTATTTTCTTGAATAATTATATTAAAAATGATGCTCGAAGTTTGTTTGTTTATTGATACTAAACAACCCGTAGTTACATCAGGAACAGGTTGCCATAGATACTGAACGTGGCAAAAGATTCTCGAAAGTTCTATGAATGACGCATATCAAAACTATTTAATTAAACATTTATTATTGTTTATAACCGACAAGATTATGTTTCACGTAATAATTTAGTACAAATTTATAAATATTTTCCACAATATGACATTTTGAATAAAAAAAATACAAATTTATAGGTTGAAAAACCACTAAAACCAAAAACAAAAGATTTTTTTGATTTTTTCTTTTGTTAATTATAGCTTTTGTTAAGTTTGATTATTAAATGTTATCAAAACATAAAGTTTTATGCATTAATAATTATTCTATAATAAATTTTAATAAAATGGTTGGTTAAAAAAATATTTATTATATTTACTATTACTATTTATATGATTTTCGAATGTAGTATCAGTGGCATAAATCACAATTATTTAGATTAACATTTATAATTTTATATATCTTTAATGTTTCATAATTTAACATTTTGAATAAAAATATATGAATTTGTTGACGACTAATCCCAAAAACCGATTATTTTTAGTTGTTTTTTGTTAAACGTTATTATTGTTAATCCATAATATGTTTTGGGTCGTAACAATTGTAAGAATAAACATTTTGCTAACATACTATAAAGTACATAGAATATTAGACCAAAAAGTATTTTCATATTTCTTTCAGATTTATGTTTACATATTTGCAATATTATATTATTCATAACAACCTCGAAATAATCACAGGATATGTCCTTGCATCTTGTAGAGTAGGACATCAATTTTATTGGAATCATTTTAATATATTAATATTTAAATCAAGGAACGATTTCGTAAATTTACCCATTAATGTCATGAATAAAATATGGTTCCAAAAAGACGTCATTAAATATGAGCTTAAATGGGGAAGGTTTGAATGTATTAATAAGAAAATCTCAGAAAATGGCTAATATACGTAATTATCATAAGTAGCTTAATTAAAATAATTATACCTTCCATATAATATTATGTCAACATTGATAAGTAGATACAACTAATTTAGAACGAGGAGTGATTCAATCCACACAACTTGCCTACAGTAAGAGACATAAGAAAATCAAGAGTAAAAAAATTAAATTTAAACAAAACATAAAATGAAATTTAGAGGAAAAACTTTTAAAGATCACTATGTGGTTGATTTTACCTATAAAATAATGCGATTAGTCGGCATAATGCCACCAAAGTTTACATCGTCTCAAGTTCGATTGCAATATTACATTAAAATATTTTTTGTTTTTATGTACGTCTTAGGTAAGTATTAAATAAGCCAAGATCACAAATTAAATTTATCAAAAATAACGCACCAAAATATATTTTTCTTAGGAATATATATTATAATACAAATGGGCACCATATTGACGTCAAAAGGCGACATTGATAAGATAATGGCAACATTATTTTTGTTATTAACAAATTATGCATTTGTTGTTAAAATTATTATTGTCAATAAAAATAGTGATACTATATTAAGATTGATCGCATTCACGAAAGATGATTTAAGCAAAGTCGTGGATCCCGTTGAAATGGAAATTATTTACAGGTAGGTAAAATATACTCAAAAATAGGATAAAAAAGTTAACAAACAACCATGATTTTATTTAAATAACCAGTAATATTAATCTATAGTGACCATCTAATATTAATTTGAAAAAAATGTCTTCTGATAATATAGGTAGTTTGTTTTATAAGAAATTTACAAACAAAACATTTAAATCAATTTTGATGTTATGAAATGCAAAAATAATTGTTTTTAAAAATAATTTGTATTATGTAAGTATTTATCCAATTATAGGCATGAACGAAGCATTTTGCGAGATGCCGTTGTCTTTATGTCTTTTGGAAATCTTACATTAATAGGATGGACCATGGTGCCAATTATTATGGGACGAAGAGTGTTGCCGATGGCAGCCTGGTAAGATTTTCAATATTTTGTTAATTATAAATATACCAACAATTTTTTGCTATTACTACAACTAAAAAAATATGAACCAATATTTTATTAACCAAAATAAAATTAAAAATTAAAAATAGCATCTTTCATAACTTTTGACTGTATTCACAATCATTAATATCACATTCTTTACGCAATATCTACATTTATAATTGAAGGAAAATTATTAACATAACTAATCAAGAAGTTAGAATTTTTAAAACCGCATTCGTCCATACTAATTTACAAGTGCTTTTTACATGCGCCAGTCATTACGATCATAATTAATTGACAATATATTAAAAGATTATGTAATATAGTAAATGGAAATAAAGAATATGTAGAACATATTTTTATAATAATAAATTTTTTGCACGGACCAAAATGAAACATATTTTCGAAACGTGTGCATGAGCAATATTAGTTGTATGAAGTAATATTTTTCGCTAAATATTTAATTATACAAACAAATAAATAATAATGGTCATAATATGAAATTATTTCGAGAAATGCTTATTAACGCCAAATCTTGATGCCGCCACCAATATTTCTCAACCTTTTTTTCATTGCAAAATTTTCAATAATTTTGGAAATATTATTTCATATTTGTCAAAGTTAGGAAATATTGTCTAAATTTAGATCAACTAGCTATTATCCATATTAAAATCTAAAAATTACTTATAGGCAGGTTGAGAAATACTAGATCAAGGCAAATTGTTCCTTTTTCTTAATTTACTGAATAAAACAAGCTCTTTGTTAATCCTGCTTAATTACTGTTTGTCTTTCAATATTTTGATAATTATAAATATACCAACAAATAACTAATACCTAAACACCCTCTTGGTATGAACAGTTTTTTCGCTATTACTACAACTATAAAAATATGGATTGTAAAAAATCGAGTTTTAACCAATACTTAGCACGTATTTTTAAAATGTGTAATTTATGTTTAATCAAACATATTACCTTTTAGTATACATAATTTTCAACCAGGTACCCTTATGACTCAAATCTATCACCTTATTACGAGCTGAGCTACTTTCACCAGATGTCCGCAATGGTCATAATTGCCTACTCCAACAATTTCTTGGATGTGATGGTCAATTCCATTGCCAGACAATTGTGCTGCCAGTTTGAACTATTGAGGAGACGTCTTGAAAGATTCACAGATGCTGAAGGCGATGATGAAGAACAATATGAAAGATTAGTTTATTATATAAAATATCAAAAGATGCTTTATGAATCGGTGGAGGACACGGGGAATATAATATGTCCCATGGCTTTTGCTCAATTCAGCGTCAGTGGTATTGTTCTTTGTTCTACACTATATCGTATGGCAAAGGTAATAAATATAATAGTAAAATATAAAATAATATATTTCATGATTGTTTTTATACGATGTACAGTCCACTCAAAATGGAATACTTTCTGCTATACCTGATATAACTTATCTTCTCACGATGACATGTCAAGTGTTTGTCTACTGCTGGAACAATAATGAACTTAATTACCAGGTACACTTTGATTCTACCAATATTTGTATTTTGCATCACGTTAGCTATAAAATAAAACATGCTAAATATACTCTGGATCCTGTAAAATAAGAAGTATATTAGTAAAAAATTATAATTAATTTATATTTAGAGTACCGTATTATATCAAGGACCATACGCCTGCGAATGGACCAAGCAACCTGCAAAATTTAGGCGAGCGCTCCTTCTTCTGATGACAAGTTGCCAAAGACCAATATTGTTACAAGCTGGAGGAATTATTCCTATAACTATGCAGACCTTTATGACAGTAAGTTTGAGAAACAATAAAAAAATAGTGGTGCATGGCATCGTGCCTTAAGGCAAATTGCTGGAACATTTCGCATTAGAATTAAATATACGAGCAAAAAAAAAAATAACTAGCTGTAAGTGGAATTCTGTCTTAAGGCAATTAGGGCATCGTGCCTTAAGGCAAATTGCGGGAACTTCCCGTACCAAAGTTTTTTTTTTTTTAAAAACGATTAACATTTTTGAAAAAAAATTACTTCGAAATAATTATTGAGAAACTAGGAATATGACAAAAAATTACTTTTTTTTGAAAAAAAAAATTTTTATTTGAAAAAAAAAATTTTTTTTTGAAAGAAAAAAATTTTTTTTGAAAACAAACTATTTTTTTGAAAAGAAAAATGTTTTCTTCATTTTGACATATTTTGGAAATTCTGAACTTTTTTTCAAAGCAATCGTAGTGCTTGAACTGCATAGAGACGAATTGTCACAGCGCAAGTGCCGCGCCGCCGTCTAACGCATAAACATTGGTACGGAACCCATAGAAATGTAAAAAAAAATTATACTTATTGTTAAAATTTCTATACAATATCTGATCATTTGATGTGCATATGTCTAATCATCATTTTTAACCGCCGAATGGCATTTTTTTTTACTTTTTTCATTAGATCTCCGAAACCGCTAGACCTGCCTTCATGAAAATTTTATCAACTCTTCATCTTGCCAATACAAGTAAAATGTTATTTGAATTATTCAAATCGGACGCTCCGTTCTCTTGAAAACTGAGTTACCGTTTTCGGCACTTTTTGCCCCGTATCTTCGGAACGGCTAGACCTAACTTCGCCAAAAACTAATCAGCACGTCTCCTTATCAGTACGAATCGAATGTTTTTTGAATTATTCAAATCGGTTGATCCGTGTTCCCGAAATCGTCGACGAAAATTTGTATCCGCACATACATACACACACATACATACATACACACACACATACATCCATTTTTTCTAAGGTATGCCAAAATGTTCAGAAACCTCTGAAACGTAAAGATATATAAAAATTTTCATTTTCGATTTTTTTGCGATTACTATAACTTACCCTACGGGAAGTTAATCAATAAATATTGATTAATAATTAATAACAATTGTTTTAAATATTTTCAAAGTGACTATTATAATTACTATATATTTATTCGTTCATAAAATATGAATATTTTGAAATTTGTTTGAACTGCGTGAGTGAACTATAAATATTAAAAATCTTGGTACGGAACCAAAAGAATTTTTAATAAAATTAGAACTTATGTTTGAAATCTCTATAAAATATCTGATAATTCAATTTGCATATGTTTAATAATGATTTGAGATCGCAAAAAATATTTTTTAAATTGTTTTTGTAACTCCGAAACGGCTGGACCTGTCTTACCTGAAATTTAATCAATTCTTCATTTCGTCAATACAAGTAAAATGTTTTTTGAATCGTTCAAATCGGTTGCTCCGTTCTCTCAAAAACTGACACCGTTAAAAACTACCGTTTTTAGCACATTTTGCCCCCTATCTTTAAAACGGAAGGACCTGTCTTCGCCAAAAACTAATCAGCACGTCTCCTCATCAATAGGAATCGAATATTTTTTCAATCATTCAAATCTGTTGATTCATGCGCCCGAAATCGTGGATGAAAAATTGTATCCAAACATACACGCACACATATATAACCATTTTTTGTAAGGTATACTAAAATGTTCAGAAACCTTTGAAACGTAAAGATATGCAAAAATTTTCATTTTCGATTATTTTCCGATTACTATAACTTTCCATACGGGAAGTTAATTCAATAATAAACAGAAAAAAATTAGTAACAATATAAAAAAAATCAAATATAAAAAAGGTTTCCATGGACATATTTTATATAAGCTTGATTTTATAGAACATCATTCAGCAAAAAACACATATCACATTAGCTCGTTGCTGATCAGAATTTTTATATTTTTCTTAAATATATCCCACCATATTGCAGAAATGATTCGAAAAGCAAAGTTGACTTTGAAACATATTTAGACATATATTTTTTTAATTTTATATTTTTCTTAAATATATTGCACCATATTGCAGAAATGATTCGAAAAGCAAAGTTGACTTTGAAACATATTTAGACAAATATTTTCAAGTGAAACATATATCACCAGGCTGGATTTGAACTCGAAACCTCTTGTTTATAAGACCGTGGCTCCTATCTCCAAAATATACTAAAAAGTGAAAAAACTGATTAAAATCACTAATGTAATAAACAATTTTTGCATTGATTTTTCTCAAATTCATTCGTTATATGAATTAACAGATGTGAATTACCTTCTAATACTATTCCATTTGTCCAAAATTTTCATTGTGACTTTAAGCATACAAATATCTACTGTTAGATTTCTTTGAAATATTTCCTTAAATATTTCCTTTGTTACAGATTGTGAAATCTTCTTACACTTTCTTCACCATGGTGAATCAAGTTATGGATTAAACCGTAATCTCTCTACATTCTAGCTGTGTAATATAAATTAAATTATATGTATCATTTACCAAAATAAAATTTTAAATTAAAAATAGCACCTTTCATAACTTTTGACTGTATTCACAATCATTAATATTACATTCTTTAATCAATATCTACATTTATAATTGAAGGAAGATTATTAACATAACTTATCTAGAAGTGAGAATTTTTAAAACCGCATTCGTCTATGTATATACATACTAATTTACAAGTGCTTTTTACATGCGCCAGTCATCACGATCATAATTAATTGACAATATATTAAAAAATTATGCAATATGGTAAATGGAAATAAAGAATATGTAGAACATATTGTTATAATATTAATTTTTTACATAGATAAAATGTAAACAAAAATTAGTACCGAAGCATCAACATTTGGATATCATTGTGGTGATTATCGAAACGTGTATATGAGCAATATTAGTAATATGAAGTAATATTTTGCACTAAATATTTAATTATGTAAATAAATAAATAATAATGGTCATATTTTGAGAAATGCTTATTAAAGCCAAATCTTGATGCCGCCTCCAATATTTCTCAACCTTTTTTTCATTGCAAAATTTTCAATAATTTTGGGAATATTTTAGTTCTAATAACACATATTATTTCATATTTGTCAAAGTTAGGAAATATCTAAAATTAGATCGACTAGCTACTATCCATATTAAAATCTAAAAATTACTTATAGGCAGGTTGAGAAATATTAGATCAAGGCAAAATGTTCCTTTTTCTTAATTTACGTAATAAAACAAGCTCTTTTTTAATCTTGCTTAATTACTGTTTGTCTTTTAAGATTTTTATCATAGATTTAATCATTATTTATTGAGTTTCTATGTGGACTTATCTATAATGTACGCTTATCGATTTCTACTATTTGTATATACAAAATTCATGTCAAATACTAATTGTAATTGTACAACACAGTCAGAAAAAATTTAGTATTTGCATTATTTTATGATACATAACGATTGTCCTTACAGATTTCTATATTTCAACAAACGATTATTCATATATATATATATATATATATATAAATACATATATGTATGTATATATATACATATTCCTCAAACCAAATATGCACATAATGGTATTTGCATATTTTATTGTAAATATACAAAAACCTTGTAAATTTTTCTACAATTTGGTTTAATTTTATATCGATTCATATAAAATTTATTTGGTCTAAATATTAATTACTTTTGAGAATATTTCAAACAAAACATGTCTACACAATATAAATACTAATTTAAATTACGTCTACACAATCCATAGTTGCTAAAACCTAAATTGTGCATTTTCTTCCAAGTAAAATAACTTGGCCAAATTTCATAAATAAATGATTCAGAAAGTCAATAGATAACTAATAATTTTTTATGCTAAAAAAATTACTAAAATTTGAATTTTTGCCTTTATGTTTAAGTCAACATAGGTATCATGAACTCTTAAGTAATTATTTTTTGTACAGAATATGTTTCGATCTTTTGATGATAATTTCCAGCTTTAAAAAATTTCTTGTAGATAAATCTTGTAGATTTATTAGATTGAATAAACTAATTTAATTTTGATAAAAACTATGCTCCGAATTGTTTGTACTCACAAATAATATCACTATTTAATTTTCACTGAATACATTTTGAATTACTTTTGCCTCACCAATTTAATGAGTGCTAATTTAATGACATGGTCAAATACGAAATTTTATTCCAATATACAGTTGGTTATAATAGTTAATATATTATACAATAGCATTTAATTAAATATATAACACAACCATAGGTAAACCTGACAGACTACGTTTATATCTTATAAAATATTTTTTTTTCATTTTTCTTGTCTCTGCTTAGCAGATTAAACAACTATAATATTAACAATTATGAATTTTATTCACTAATGATCGAATCCGTATAATAGCGTTTTTAAAATGGCTATAAATATAGGTACAAATATATCACAAATTAATGACATTACATTGAATTTAATTTTTTTTTGTAAAATGTAAATAATATTAATGGAAAAGTGAGAATAATGCCTTCACCACAAAGGTGATAATATAAACATTAAATATTGCCCATTGGAATAATTAATATAATTATTATAATTTTATGTTATTACAAGACAACCAAGCAATGGCAAAAAAAAATAGGTGTCACCTTTATAATATTAATTTTTAATTATTTTTTAATAATAGATAGTAGAAGCTAAGTAAAAGTATTAATAACTAAAACTTCTTTTCGGCAAAAACATTTTTTAGTAAACTTTATTTAAACTTCAAACGATTTGTCATGGAGAGATGATAAATGAGTATTCTATGTTAATTATATACAAATTTCTATCACTTATAATCTTATGTTAGATTTAACAATTGCAGAAATCTATATTCAGATATACGTACTTGAAATATATATTTCACATATAAATATTTATAAGCAATAATTTTATTTATATATTTTTATTGATTGTACTGCTTATATACTAAGCGATTTTATATCTATACTTTATTAATAAATGTAAACTATTAACGCAAAATATTAAATTTCGAATAAAAAACCGATTGATTATTAATTAATACAACCTTTCTTGTGAGCAAGGTAATAAATCGGAATGATAAAAGTAATAATACCAAAAGCAGTAATTCAATCAATATTGAATTCAAATATTTATATAAATTACTACTCATTATAAATGATTGCGATTTTAAACAGAAATTAATAAAGCCTAATTTTTAAAGTTTATTTGCTCTGATCCTAGGTTTTATTGAATATTATATGTATAAATGCGAAAATCTTCACTTTGATTCCGACAGCTAAATATACGTAATTTAGAATTGGCTTTATTACATCAAGAATATATTAATATAATGATGATCATAAAATCAGAAAAAAATCTAAAATGCATGACTAAAATTTAACTAAGTCAAGACTGTAAAGACAAATTCATATAAATTGTATTAGGTCTTTTCGAACTCCACTTTTAGAAAAACGAACTAAGTTTTTCGATGTACTCATATTAATAAAATATTTTATATTAATAAAAATTCAACAAAAATGACGGATACTACTAAAATTAATATTACCTATTTTTAATAAATATTTTCAATAAATAATTGTTATTAATTAAACCCTGTAATGTTTGTAGATAAATATTTTTCACTAAAAATTAATTTGATCTACACTTGTTAATGCTTTTTGTACAATTTCTGAAATTATAATAAAAAAAATTTATTTTAATTCTAAACCGTTAAATTAATTGCTAAAAGCGTTAACTACAAATGGTCCCGGCCTAATAACGAAATTATTTTGGTCAGAAAAATGATTATCTTTTGTACATATCAAATAAATTAATATCTGCTATAAAATTTCGAAGCGATGATAATAACAATGTTAATATTTTTTTTATAAATGCTGAAAATTTTAAAGAATATATACATTTTTATTTATATATGTTATTTTATACTAATCAATTTAACAAATTTTATATTAATTAGTGTTTTAAGAATTATGACGTCTATACTTCATCGGTTTTTGTCTCACAAGCCGATTTTTTACGCATATTGAAATTGTAAGAGCCAGAAACCACAAATTCTACCATACTTATACAAAGATATTTATAGCCTTTTATAAAAATTGACCTACTTGCAAAATTACCTCAAACATTTAAATTTCTTAATACACACATTCTAACAACTTTTAAATTTAAATAATATTCTATAACAGAAAATATTTGCTATAATTTTTGGGCTAATTCAATCCGCAATATATGTATATCGATATTTTACACTATTATAATTCGACATGCATCAATGCATATAGTAAAAACACTCATACATATGATTTAACACTCTATACTACTTCAAATATGGAAATTATTTTTGATCAAATTTACAATTTTATTGACAAATTGGTTATTAGCACTAGCTAATCGCAAAAAGTCTACTGTTTTGTATCGTTTATTTTACAGAATTATAGTTTTGAAGGCGAGTTTTTCTCAAACTTTTTTGCTGCAACAAGGTAGAAGTCAAAACATGGGGATAAAATATAGAAAGTGCTTACAATTTGTACTTAAATATGATTTGATTTAAAAATTGTATCATGTATTCGTATTACATGAATTAACACGTGTCAATCCTAGACGAAAAAAAATTACCTCAAAATTATGGCAATGGTAAAAATGATTAGATTTTACCTTTTCAATTTAAATAAAAATAATTTTTATCACTCTATATTTTCATATATATTCTAATCAAAAAATTGTTTGAGATAATACAGTTTCGTCTATGTGTGCGTAAACATAATAAACTTACACAAAACTTTATATAGGGGGAAGTCCCGTAACGCCGGAGGGCACTTAATACCGGACACTCTATTTAACACGGATTATTTAAGCGAGTATAAAACTTTTTATATCAAAATACAAGTGAGAGGGGCGCTGGGGGCACACAGGTGCAGGATCACGCGCCAAGACTCACCTTTGACGCACACGGCTACGGCGAAAGTAACCCTTTGCTGTTTTAAGCGCAAAATCACGGCGTCACCTGAATATCAATGGAAGTTATTCTAGTATATTTATGCATTTACATTTCTGTGGTATGCAAAGATATAAGTAGTACTTGATTGTTATCCGTAAAATAGTCGAATATAATTCGATATTTTAAACAATTTTAGTAGGTACCACCAAATGAATGAACATGTCAGTCCTTTAGCACCGGACACTAAGTCGTCCCTTAGCGCCGGAGAGTAACCATATTAATATTTCTTGTGAGAATTGACGTAATTTATTCTTATTATTTAATTTTGTTCTGTATGAGTACATACTCCCATTTTTCGTATTTCTTAGTCAAAGAATGAAAATCTTACAATGAATGCTCCAGCTGAGAGGATCCGTCTGGCCCAACCGAAAGGGTGGATAAATTAAAGCCATTTATAATATTTTAAGATCATTAAATTGAATGAGAATCTGCGGTCATTTTTGCCTCTGAAGGATTTCCAAAGATTAAATGGCTTTAATGGATTTTTTTTGCAATGATATTTTTTACGGCACTCGCGGACTTCCCCCTAATTTATGATCCGAATCAACAAACTTATTATTAAGTAATAATAGATTTTAGAAAAGACAAAATTGGAAAAAACGCTTACCACCAGCAATTAGCTTGGATCAAATCTTTCTGCGTTCACTTTGACTTCTTTTCCAAACATACAACGAAGATCAACTATCAATTTCCCTCTCTAGATCCCTCAAATCTTCTTGTGATCTATATTCCTCGCTTTCCCTGTGAACTAATGCATGAACCACAGTCGTAGGCGGAGGAACAACATCGTCGGTCAAAGATCGGTCAGAATCCTGTGGCGTGTTTATGGTACTAAGAGGTACTGCAGTATCAGGAGATGGTTCTGTAATTAAAATACTGACGTCCGGAGTTCTAGCCACGGGTTCCGTATGAGATAGTGGGAAGACGGGAAGGCAGCTGCCGCTCGGCCGCAGTTGACCCGACAGGCCGCGTTCCAACGGGCGTCTGCGGATCAGACTTCCCCTCTTAACGTGCTGATCGACATTTACGGGGGCTAATATGCCGGCTGTGCGTCTCACGATGGGGAGAATCTCAGTTGATGCGGAGACAGTTTTTTCGGGCGATTTTGATTTAGACTAAATCAACGAAATAATATACTTAAATTATATTTTTAAGACTACTAATACTAAGGTGAGAATAAGACCCGGTTTGGCCGGGACAAACCCGAATTTCAACCTAGTGTCTCGGGTTTTTCTAAGAGCAATAATAGTCCCGCATTTAGAACTTTTGTCCCGGATTGTCTCAAATTTTCGAAAAGTATAGGTTCAAATTGAATTTTCGCAATTACTTGATGATAAAATTATAATTACCCATGAAATATCTGAAAGTGATATATACAATGAGTATGCTAGTATCAAGCAATACGTTGCCGAATTCAAAACTTCAAAGGCGGATAGATGTTGTACAACATAATCTAATAGTTCTTTTCTTACTAAACGTCAGTATATTTGATTTTAAAAAGAAAATAGATTAATTTAAAGAAAATTGATTTTTATTGTATCCTTAAATATATTTGAGGATACAATAAAAATCAATTTTCTTAATTAACAACAATTAATATATTAATTGTTACTTTAAATCATATATAGGTTATTTAGCATAACGAACAATGCAACAATTAAAAGAATATGGTCACCTTGCTAATACAGATTGTGTCTTAATGTGCTAAAAAAATATCAATTATAATCAATTTAGCAGCAAAGGCATCTCATACACAGTGTTTTTCTTGAGTATTATATATAAAATGAATAAAAATTGTTGTAGCCAACTAATAAGACAATTTTTCAATAATAATGTAGATCTTTAACAAACGTGCATGCACAACATCAATAATTGCAACACAAAAAAAGTCAACCGCCTTTTCATATAAGTAAAATATTTTATATAAGTTGATAAAATTGTAGTAATTTTCGAATGGTTGATTTTTAAATGTAATGAAATATAGACGTTAGTTTTATTGATATTGCATGAAGTTAGACAAAAATAGTTATTACGTGAAATTATAACAAATACTTGGAATGTAACATTAATATTATAGCTAATTCAAGAAAATTCAAATGACCTATGTATTGTAATATAACAGATTATTAAATTTAAGATAATGGTGCCGAATAAAATTTGATGTTTTAATCAACATGATGAAAACTAGCATTAATGGGCCAAATTCGCTATTAAAATAGCCCGTAACATAGCGTTGTTATGGCAACATTATCGAAGTTATTGCAGTCTATGTTATCGAAGAATTGGCCCCTGAAACTGTAAAATTGAGATACTAATGATGCACTTCAAAAAATATTTTTGCAACAATATTCTTTATATGTGAGTAATTGTTATATTTTTTTTATTTGAAGAGAAATTAAATAATTAATAATACGCAATAAATTATATGTGATACTCACCCTTATTCGGGTTGGTGAATTTTCATCTTCATGCTCAACGGCATCTTGATGTTTCAATAAAAAGGGAAAGTTATAAAAGCTTCTTCGTCGACCCGAAGTTTTATCTTTCGCCTGCAAAGATGATCCGAGCGGTGGCGAAGAAGCATCAGGTGAAGGCTCGCTAACCATAATACTGACATCTTTGGATGGGCCACTTCCATCATCTTCTGCTTGCACTGCTCCACTCAGTAACATGAGAGGCAGATTTAACCAAGCCCCTAATATAAATCAAATATCCAATGAATAAATAATAGAATTCAAGTACCAATCAATTAGATTAGCCATTTTGCTTATAAAAGCAATATATTAAATTATCACCTCCTAATTCGCTAAGATCACTTGCATCGCTAGCCCGTGAGCTTTTTCGCGAACTCGCCCTGGATCCGCGATGAACGTGCAGGAAGGCGCTGAGGCGGCCTTGCCAGCCACCAGGACTGGAGGTCTGAGTTACTTCATCGTCGCATTCCGTATTATCACGATCTCTTTCTTGTTTCCATCTAGTAATCAACATTCAATTATGTTTCGCCAATAATTTTTAGAAATTCAATCACTTAAGAAAGCAAGCGCAAAAAATGTATAAGCCCAAGAAGAAATTATTAAAATAAACTAGTGGGGCGCATGGCATCGTGCCTTAAGGCAAATTGTTGGAACTTCCCGTACCAAGAATTATTATTTTTTTAAAAAGGATTAAACGATTAATCGTACTGCTTTAACTCGATAGAGACGAAATGTCAAAGCGCGTAAGCGCCGCGTCGCCGTCTAACGGATAAGCATTGGTACTGAACCCATAGGAATGTAAACAAAATTTATACTTACTGTTAAAATCTCTATAAAATATATGATATATTGATGTGCATATGTCTAATGATCATTTTTGACGGCCAAATGGCATTTTTTTACTTTTTTCATTAGATCTCCGAAACCGCTAGACCTGCCTTCATGAAAATTGATCAATTCTTGTCAATACAAGTAGAATGTTTTTTGAATTCTTAAAATAGGACGCTCCGTTCTCTTAAAAACTGAGTTACCATTTTTGGCACTTTTTGCCCCGTATTTTCGGAACGGCTAGACCTGCCTTCGCCAAAAACTAATCAGCACGTCTCCTTATCAATACGAATCGAATGTTTTTTTGAATTATTCAAATCGGTTGATCGGTGTTCCCGAAATCGTCGACGAAAATTTTATATCCGCACACACACACACATACACACACACATACATCCATTTTTTCTAAGGTACGCCAAAATGTTCAGAAGATTTTGAAACGTAAAGATATATAAAAATTTTCATTTTCGATTTTTTTGCGTTTACTATAACTTACCCTAGAGGAAGTTAATTATAGTAATCTATATCCAAACAATTCAGTATAATTATAACGAGAAGTTTCAAAATCGAGGCATAAAATTTTTCAAATGCAAAATTAATTAATATCTGATATCAATATACCTAATAAGTAAAAGTAAGTGAAAGATTCAGGATCACAAACGTATTTATGATGTTTTTACATATAGGTTTATATAAAACTGTTTGCGACCCCTGTATAATTAAGTTTTTAAATAAGCCAATTGCTCTACACAAAATATCATACCAAATAAGTTTGAATTAATAATATTTCATCTACTTAATGAACGAAACTTCAAATTTTTAAAGCAATATACAGCGTATATAAATTCATTCCTTTTAAATACGAGTATATTGTATTATAGCATTTATCTATACTATAAAATATGCTATAGCATACCTATAAAATGCATGTTTGTGTTTTATAAATTAGTGTTGCTTATGTAAAAAAATCTATATAAGTCTACTAATTTTGAAACTAGTCACAAAGCAAGAAATATATTTACAAATTTAGAAAAGCTAACTTTGTTCAAATTGCAGTCATAAACAATATTTTGAAAACCATGCTGTTTCAAACTATGATTTTTATTCATTTTCATAATAAAAACTTAGTGAAAGGTAGCACTGTGGAAAACTTTCAATAAAAATAATTAAGTAGAATAGAAAAACTACTTAATTAAGTAGATATCAAATCAAATACTAGACTTGAAAAAATTGGTATATAAATAGTAATGCATCATTAATAGGGCGAGAAAATTAAATTATATGAAAATGCATAAAAATCTCGACGTACCCTGACACGATTCTTCAAAATTTACGATCAAGTCGGAGCCGTTACAACTAAAATTCTACCTAAAAGCACTTACTTCACGTACTCTCTAAAAGTCTTCTGAATCAACCTTGCTGCCTTATCTTCTCGTTTCCAAAGCCTGGTAGATGATACGATTTCTAGTTCTTTTCTAGTTGGGAATTGTTTTTTGAATTTAACGTCCATTTGGTCTTGTAATTGTCTGAAATCGTCGGTTTCTTCAACATGACCTAACACGTGTTTTACCAAAGCATGCAAGATATCCAGACAATGAATTTTGTCGCCCTTGGCTATAGGTAAGTTGAAACTGACCAATGCAACTGTATTAGGCTTACTGATACCCAAAGGAGGATCTAATGATGCTATAAAATCTGATAACTGATTGAAACCTATAAACTGTGTTGCATGAGGGTCGTATCTAAAAAAATAATGATCAGATTTATAGTTGAATAACATTTAAAATATAATTCATACTTTTACGCAGTACATACTTAGACCATCTAATATAGAACATTTCCAAATCGTCTTCAACAATTCCGATCTCTTCTTCTTGATGTGCTTGATTGAAATTTTCTAGAATTATAGCTATATACATGTTTATCACTATCATATAACTAATGATAATAAAACTCGTAAAATATGTAATGGCCAGCAATGGGTAGCCACAATCACCATTTGACAAACCATTATAATATGGATCGCATATCGGCGGTTGGATCATTAAAGATTCTAGTACATCGTTCCAACCTGCCGAAGTCATTAGACTGAAAATAAACATCATGAAATAAATATATTGTCGAAATCTTGATTTTATTAATATATTTAGATCAACTAACCGAAATAACAGTTGCATACTACGTCCAAATGTTTGGAAGTTCACCATGTCATCGAGGGCGCCTTGGGTCCGTACATGACCAAATAAAGACATGCCTATTATGGCATAAATAAATGTTATTAACGCCAACAAAGCACCAATGTTGAACAGTGCTGGCAAAGATACTACAAGGGCAAAGAGTAATTTTCTTATGCCTTTAGCAGCCTAGAATAAGAAAATAATAAATCTGTTAATTAGAACGATTCCGAAATATATGGATGGATTTGATGATTAAAATATAGATGAAATAGAAATTTAGTAGGAATGATTATTTTGGAATTTGAGTTTTAAATGTGGTTAAGAATAAAAAACATATGCATCGAAATTAAAACTACAACATGCAAATGGAAAGGTAAGATACGAAATGAAAGGATAATAAATATACATTTGCAATATGCCATTCAAAAATAAGTTAACATTTCAAATTTGTTAGTAATATATTATAATGTTGTATAGAAATTTATTTTTGGTAGTACATAATTTTAACACAAATTCTTACCCTTCGTTCATGATACCGCTGGAAGATCACGTCAAAATCGTAAAAATCAGGAAGAACTCATAATTGATACATAAAGAAAAACATAAATTATGAGAAACAATATAAAAACATATGCATAATGTAACAAATATACAAAATTAATAATCACAAGCACATATGAATCATAAAAAAATGTTTCAAATGCTATTGTACATATTAGTAACAAAACATAAATTAGTAAATAAATAATTAATAACAACATTAAGTATACAAGAAAAAAATAAATATCACAATAATAAGTAGGTAAGTATTTCAAGACAAATAAAAATTTATACCTTTATCAATCGAAGAATTCTTCCGATCCTGAAGACACGTACAACTCGTAAAAGTGTAGGACTAACTGGTAAATCAATCATGATGTCTTCCATTAAAATACCAAGTATACTTGCTAAAACTAATAAAAAGTCAAACAAATTCCAAGGAACTGTAAAGTAATGCCAACGTAAACCTATCATCTTCACTATCGCTTCTGTAATACAAATATATTTTAGCTAGTGTTAATTTTTATGTAATAAATATTTAGTTATTATTACCTAAACTGAAGACTGTTGTAAAAAAAGCGTTGCTGACATCTAAAATTGTATACACGATATCTGGTTGACCATAATGTTCAATGCCCATTGTGAGCATATTTAGAAATATTAATATGAATATGAGAATTTCGAATCTTCTGGAGTTGCTGATATCATAGAAAAATGCTAGAAATTGATTGATAGGTCTTTTGATTACTTTTTGCGGTTTCTTCCGACCGAGCTTTTTCATCGCTGTGTAATAATGTTTTTGACTTTCTGTCAGAAACATTTCCAGAACACCTCCCTCATACTACACAATAAAATTCAGATATATTTTATATTAATAAGAATAAATACTTGATAAATAAACACTTACCCTTTTCTTCAACATGTTGAAATTATCTATAATTACTCCAATAAATAGGTTAAGAGTAAAGAACGAACCGCATACAATAAAAATAACAAAATAAAGATAAGCATAAAGATTAGCCTCTCGATCAGGTTGTAAATCTACTCCACGTGCATCCACTGCATCTGCCATAACTTCCATCCATCCTTCAAAAGTTGCCTAGAAAAATATAAAATAAATTTTGTATTATTAAAATTTCGGACAACATTTTAATAAAATTTTGTAGACAAAGATGTATACATACCACTTGAAATAATGCTAGATATCCAGCACCAACGTGATCAAAAGTTATTTTTGAGTTCTTCCACGTAAAATTTTTCTCCTCGCATTCCCACTTATCATTTACAATCTAAATAGACAAAGAAATCAGTATTTAAAATGTTCTTTACAATTTTTTGGTTGACTACTCACCGATACAGGCAATATTTCCATATCGTCATCCAGGCACTTGAAAAATTTTCCCCCAAAAAATTGCACACCCATAATGGAAAATATTAACCAAAAGACTAAACACACAAGTAGTACATTGAAAATGCTGGGTATGGCATACATCAAGGCATTTACTACAATTCGCATTCCCTGCCAGCGGGAAATTGCTCGAAGTGGACGCAGGGCTCTTAAAGTGCGAAGAGATCTAAGCACTTTTAAATTCTCGTTTTCTTCTATTAGTAAACTGAAGACTGATACCTAGAAAATGATTAAGTATTATGTTTAATTTTGAAATACAATTCCTTAGAAAAGGATTTAAGTGTTGTATAACTTACAAAAACAATTATAAAATCCAAAATAGTCCAAAAACTCGTAAAATACTTCTGAAAACCAAACGCCATCCACTTTAGTACCATTTCAATAGTAAAAATTAAACAGAAAGCCAAATTAGTCCAATATAATATTTCAATCAACGGTTTGTTCCCTTCTAAATAAATATCTTCAAAACACAATGTGATACTTGATGCAAAAATCAACACTAATATGAACCATTCAAATGCAGGTGTATCAACAACTGAAAGAATTGACGCCCGGATTCTATTCCACTTCTGTCCAGTCTCGGTAGCAGCACAAGCTTCCCAACAAGAACAACGTTGGTAGCAGTGTTGGGGAAAGCAATCTTGGGGAACTTTTGCTTGCTTATTTCTCCCAAATCTAGGAAAACCTCCCATGCCATCGGCATATTGACCCTGAGAGTCTCTGCGACCTCCAACAGTCAGATCATCAACATAAGAAACCAAAGCCAACCAGGGTCTTTTGCCATTGCCTTTATCCGAGGCTACTGCTTCTACGGGCTTCTTGGAAGGAGTTGGTGTATTTGTGGCAGATGAAGTACGTGATTTTGGTACGATTTGAGGTTTAAGCTGTGGTGTTGGATTTAGAGGTTGCATTTCTATTGACTCAGTATTTTCATCTAAAAAAAATTAAGTATTCCAGAAAGTATAATTTAAGAACCGAAAGTGGTATATTTTAAATATTTGGATATAAAAATGGATAGTACCTTTACTTTCGCTCTGCTGTGTGCCATACTCGGACGTCAACCTGAAAGACAATTTTTGCACCAATCTTTGTTTTTCTGACGTGTGTTCATCTTCTGGTAAAATTCCTGGTTCTTCAAGTTGTTTTATAGTTTCCTGACTACTATGAACATCAGCTCCGGCATTTTTGTCTCCATTTTGTGATTGTTGTTGATTCGGAGCTTTTTCACCTTGCTGTTCCTGCTGGTCAAATTTATGACGAAAATCTGAACCAGATACTGGTCTTTTCAAGGCTTCATGATAACTGTGACTATAAATGTGATCATGGGGTATTCCGGTAGAAATGATAGAATATCTTGTTTCTGGATCAATTTTTCTAGCATCTCCAACATTATCTCGTCTTCTTCTTCTTCTTACTACGACTTGATCTAATACTATTTGTTCAAGTTGTGTGTTTTTCTCATTTTCTGAACGTTCTTTGCTTCGTTTTTTGCGTACTATGGATCGTATCCGTTCGAAACTGCGAGCTAATTTGGAATCTTCACCGACTTCCTAAATAAATTGAAATATACAATAGTTAGTACATGAATAATATTTAAAAAAAAGTATGTTAAATGTAATGCTGTTTACTGCATCCTGATGTTCTGAGTTGCTGAGGTCCAAATTATCAAAATAGTAAAATAAATAAATAAATCGTAGTGGTGTTGTAGTATCAGTGTACAGTCTTGTGTTGATTGTAATATTATGTTCAATATATTGTATATTTATATTTGTCTACAACTTGTAGCGCGTAAAAAAGTTTATTTTGTCATGAAACATTAAATAATTTTTTTGGAGTATTTTAAATTCAAATAATTATAGTGCAAGTTAACTTGGTTAGTAATATCCAGTTTATTAGTTCAAATCTGCGCATGCAAAAATAATGAAGAATATAATCTAAATGCAAAATATTATTTGAATACTGTTAAACATTCCATTTTGTAGGTTAACTACTAAATATATTAATGAACCAGCATTATGATAAATATTTATAAATACGTGTGATGCTATCGTGTTAAGATATATACGTGATTTAAAATATATTTTCAATACAAAAACGTATTGATTTTATTTTACTAGACGTAAATAAATTAAAGCTTTTAAATGATTTTACTGCTATACTTGTTTTATATATACATCCAAAAATATTACTTTGAACTACTTTAAATGTTTTTTTTATATACATGGTATGTATATGTGTTGAATATGTGTGAATGTGTGATATATAACTAATCAATACATAATTTTTAATAAAAATATGTACAGAGTCTATTTACTAAATATTAAGCTATTATTGGGCGCATTAAATTTTGAATACATATTATATGTTTTATAATTTGGCATCATCAGCATTAAGTAGGTAATTACAAATTATGGCGGTGATTAATTGAAATTAAGTTTTTTTAATTATTTTAAGTTCAGAACAGATAATTACAAATGGAGTTCTGCGAATGATCTACCTAATGAATTTTTTATTCATTGTATTTTTCTTGCTTTGAAATGATTAAAAATTTAATAAAATTTATACACTAAAATAATAAATAAGTTTTTGAATTCATGAATGACTAAAAATAAGAGTTTTGATCACCACGTTCATAATTTGTAATTATATTTTTCAAACCAAATGTTATTCCATATAGACATAATATTAATTCTATGTAATATAATGTATCTCCACCATTGTTCATTAATATGGTAAATAATAAAATTTCACCTACTGCACCTAGGTTAGTAATGAAAATTAAAAGCATTATGTACAAAAGCTGATTATTGAAGATTTAATCATGCGAGATTTAAAGAGTTACCTTTAACAGATTCTTCGAGTACTTTACCTTGCTCTTCTGCGCGAATTTCTGAATACAAGAAAAACAATAACAACATCAAACTACGAAACAAATAGAAGAATTAATTATAATAAATTTTTAGTCAGAATGCAAAAATTAATATTTAAACTTTATTTTTAAGGACTTGAAATTTAAAAAAATATTCTCAAATTTTTTTTAGACTCTTAATTACAGTTATAAAGAAAGATATTATATGACATATAATAATCATAATAATATAAGATAATATGCCACAAACATTAAACATAAAAACAGTCAAAAATCAGTAATATTTAATCCATAAAACACAATAAGTAAAAAAATTATAATTAAAATAGTAAGTTATATAATATAATGAATAAAAATGTATCCAAATTTTATATTATAATAGTTTTTACTGAGTAATCATATTGGTGTTTTATGGACTTGTTAAAAACATCTATGACATCAAAAAACTTTGTCACTGTAGAAAAAATCTAACACCAAGTGTGAGCAATCAAAATATTCAAAAAACTGCACACAGTTTTGTAAAGCTAGTTTTGCACAGAAAATATAATGGCAATTTTATAGAAAAAGTTTAATATTTAATTTAGATTATGAAATTCAAATAATCTAAAAAATAGTAATAATTAATCGCTAAATATTGTCATAGATAAAACCCGATCCATTGCATTACTAAAAATTTAATAAAATATTTAATTTTTTTAAGGAGAATTTTGAGTATTTTCTGTGCAAAATAGAGAAATTATTATTCATGAAATTATTAATATCTAACCTCCTTCTTATTTTTCAATTCCTCACTGTTGAAACTGTTGAGCAACAACGCCAAGAACAAGTTGAGTACCATAAAATTGCCCATGACGAGAGCTGGTAGAAAAATTGCAAAGCAAGATCCAGCCCCTACTTTCTCCTCAGCTCTCATGCAGTCCCATAGCGGCTCTATCCACTCGCCGCAGAGAATACGGAAGATCATCATGAATGAATGGAAGAAGTCGTTGAAATTCCACCTGGAAAATTAAGGTCGAAGAAACCACTAGTCTACTAGTTAAAAATAAATTAAATTTAATTCGTAAATTATATAAAATACAAGCGATTCTAAAGTGCGGCTATATTTTTGTGCCTTTGGCATTCCTAATTGTCTTTCCTATATAAAATATCATTAAAAAAAATCTAGCTTTGGGAAAACAAAAGTCAAATTGTTCACTGGCTCTTCGACTATATCACTATTGTCTTTCATATAATTGTTGCTATTATGAAATATAATAGTTCTAGTTGATTTATTAGACGCAATGTAAAATAACTAATGAATGAATGAACCAATACTAAGTAACAAACTAGTGGGGCATGGCATCGTGCCTTAAGGCAAATTGCAGAAACTTTCCGTACCAAAAACTAGATTATTAAAAAAAACTTTGAAATAATTAGATTTTTGAAGAAAAATGACCCTGTTGAAAAATTTCATTTTTTTTTGTATCCTGTTTTTTTTTTAATTTTGAACACTTTTTTTGAGCAATCGCGCTGCATTTGGAGTCAAAATATGAATTCGCGGAAGCGCCGCGTAGTTGTCTAACGGTTAAACATTGGGTCGAAACCAATATAAATGTACACAAAATTATAATCTTTATAAAATATCTAATAATACTATATACATAAGCCTATTTCCTATTTTGTCTTCTTTTTTTTGGATTTCCGGAGAAGCTGAACCTGTATTTTTAAAAATTTTATCATTTGTTCATTTCGTCAATACAAGTCCAATGTTTTTTGTATTATTTAAATCGGACGCTCCATTATCTCAAAAACTGTAATACCATTTTTGGCACTTTTTGGCCCGTAATTTCGAAAGGCTTAAATCTGCCTTTGCCAAAAACAATCAGCACGTCACCTCATCAGTAGGAACTGAATGTTTTTATAATTATTCAAATCGGTTGATCCGTGTTCGCAAAATAGTCGACGCAAAATTTGTATCCGCACACACACATACGCACACACGAACATACATCCATTTTTTCTAATGTATGCAAAAATGTTTAGAAACCTCTGAAACGTAAAGATAAATAAAAATTTTTATTTTCGATTTTTTGCGATTACTATAACATGGCCTACGGGCAAAATACTACTACCTACTATAGACAAATTAAATTACAACTAACCTGGGAACAGGATCCGGAAAAAACTTGTCCGGTGTGTAGTCTTTTGAGAATAATTGCATACCAATCACAGCAAAAATATAAATAACTATCACTAACACAAATGTCAGATTTCCCAATGCTCCTATTGTTGAAATTATAATACTGAGCAAAACTTTCATTGTCGTCCATGACTGAGCTAATTTTAACACTCGCAACTGAAAGAAATAATAAAAAAATATTTAATTAAATATTAAAATTTAGTCTTTACTGTATATTTTTGTTGATTTTTCTACGTACTAGTCTAAGTCCTCTTAATACTGATAGACCATCCACAAGTTCAAATATCAAATCGAGTAAACTACCGGATACGACTATAAGATCAAAAATATTCCACCCGCACAGAAAAAAATCCTTGCTTAATGCTAGGATTTTCAGGAAGCACTCAAAAGTGAAGATGGAAGTAAAAACCTGAAAGCCAAAGAAGATGTTTTAGAAAATATAATTTACAAAGTGAATCAACTATTGATGCTTTTTTTACCTTATTGCCAATATCTAAAGCTCGTTCGACGCTTTTGCTCATTCCATGATGTTCGACGGCCAAAAACATGGTATTGAGAACAATGCATATCGTTATAGCCAATTCAAATAACGGATCTCTTACTATATTATAGAGGCATTGTTGAAATTGCAACCATCCTGCATAATCTATGCAACAATGAACGCATCTTGCACAGTTTCGATCTGGTATATCATCTAGAGAAAGAATATTGAGGTCAATATATGAAATGAATATATGAATAATAAAATAACAATTATATATAAAGCTAAACTTAAAAAACAGATTTTTAAATGTAAATTATTCATAACATTAAAAACTTAAAATTAATCAATAAATGCAACCCTGTAACATATTAATTATTATATATCAAGATATTTAATCGTAATAAAGTGTTAACACATACATGCAAAATTCTATTGATGATAAACTTATTTATCCAGGAAATTAATTTAAGAGTGTATCATTATTTGTTTCACATATTTTATTTTGATTATTTTGCAAGTTGATATAGATAGCATTTGATGGATTAGCTTCTAAATCCCTTCGAATAATTCGTTTGTTATCTTCTAGAAAAAGGATGTCAAATTAGCGGCCCGCGACCCTATAATCTGGGGTAAATTAATTGACTATATTTTTCAAAAAAAATCTGATTGAAAAGTCACAATTTTCTGCACAAAAAATGATAAAGCTTTTTCATGTGTATACCTATAACTACAACTTGCGACATATATTCGGGCGGCAAGCTGTACATTTGCTGTTTCCTTAATTTTCTGTTCGCGTTGACGCCGTTGCAACGCACGATTCGGCCGTCTTTTCTTGTTAACGCCACAGTAACTGGCGTTACTTCTTTTTGTAACTGGAAAATAAACGACATAGCATTTAGCTTCGTATATTATATATATATATATATATATATATATATATATATACTAATGTATATAAAAAAATACCCTTAAATAATATATAATTTATTTATGATGCAACGGTTTCATAAATGACTCTTTACTTCATATTCCATATCTTCAATTCAATTAATTTTCTAAATTAAATTTCAATCGTGCTTCATTCATACAATAAACTTATTTGGTGTAATTTTTCAGTAAATAGGTCATATGACTTGTTATTCGTTTACACTAGATTTAAATTATTAATAGAAATTTATTATAATATTGTATACATTAAAGCTCGCTTGGTCATTTAATAATACTTTAGATAGACTGGGTGATATGCTATTCAACAAATTGCTTTTAAATATTAGATAAATGTGAAATAACAAATTGTTGTTATAAACAAGTTGTTTATAAACATTTTTAAAAAACATAATTGTTACATTATTGAACAATATATAAGTTGTGACCTCTCAGACACCTTTATACGAGGATCAACCTCTAACTAAAACTTTATGCCATATTTTAATTTACTTTAAATAATATTTGTTCTTCGATTTATGTATTATTAGTAAGGTGACCATACTTTTCAAAGTCAAAATCGGAACGGTAGTTTTTAGTTATGGTAATCAGGGACGGTAGATATGGTAAATAATTAAAATATGATTTTGGAATAATAAATACTATTTAAGGATGCAATAAAAATTAGTTAATCTTAAATGAATCATTTTTCAAAATCAGAAACACTGACTTTTGGGTAAGAATATTTTTATTTTCGCATTTAAACTTTGTATAAAATTCTGTCTCCATAATTATCTTGAAAAAATTTGCATCTATGCCAGGCATTTAAAAAGATCGTTCTCACAATTTTTGATAATATCCATAAAATTAAAATGAATGGTTCCAATTTATGAATGTGAGAAGTTGTTTCAACCGGCTTTTGGAATTTTGTATTCGGAAATTTTCTCATTAATATATAACATTTTCAGATATTTGATCAGTAGTTGTAATTTTATTATTAAGTAATTGTAAAGATTAATTTTAAACCTATACTGTTCAAAAATACGGGTCAATCCGGGAAAAATTATCAAAATCCGGGACAAATATTGCTTTTCAAAAAACCCGGGATAAGAGCTGGAAATTTGGGACTGTCCCGGCCAGACCGGCACGCATGGTCATCTTAATTATTAGGTATTAATAATACAGTTGTTATATAAATATAAATAAATTAATATATTTAAAGATTAATATGCAGGCGTATTACATTAAATCAAATTTCAAAATACATAAAATTATAGCATTTCTCTTCTTCAAACTAGTAAGATTATGAGCAAAACATTTTGTACAAGAACAATAAAGCGGTTACTAATAAAGAAAGAACAAGATAGGTCAAGAATGTTTCTCGTGTATTCTTTATAACCTTAAAAGGATCACAACATATTTATGTAAAAAAACATATATTGTATGGTATTTTGATACAATTGCCAATTTTATTGCAATAATTAAAGTGCCTGCTAGTTGTTTTTTTACATGTATGAGACATAAAATTTTGGTAAAGTATTTTTACCTGAACTACGCTATGTACATGAGCAGGCGCTAAGTCTTCACTAGTAGCGTCTTCATCGCAGTGGTCATCGACTACACCACTGTCATCTAAAGAAGATTCGCGATTATTGCCGTCACTATTGTTACTACTCGCTTGACGGCTATGAGGTCCTAATTGACCACGGTATTGAGGACCTATATAAAAATGAATTATAAATACACCTACTTTAGGCATTTATTATACTATAATTATAGGTAATAACTACTCAATGCATTACACGGATGCAGCGTATCAGCAGATCTCTCTTGTTGGTCCTTCACACCGGATAAAAGCACTACTCTAGGTGCTTGGGGAGCTCGAGCCCTTTGTTGAGGTTCAGGGGATAATTTTTGAGGCGGAGGCGGAGCACCTTGTGATTCGGCTACTACTGCGTCTCGACGAGGAGATGGCGAAGGTGATGGTGTTGCCGATCTCATACCGTTACCTGTATAATGGAAAAAAACTTGAGATTTAACCAGTTTTATTATTCTATAAATATACTAAACTAGTGTTGTATGACATCGTGCCTTAAGGAAAATTGCTGCAACTTCCAGTACCAAAAAAATAAAAAATTTTGAAAAAGATTTTTTTTAACCTTTGAAAAAATTAGATTTTTTTATGATCTTGAAATGTTTAAAAAGAACTGACTTTATTGAAAAAAAATGACTGTTTTGAAAAAAATTTTTTTTTAATATTTTGAAATATTATGGAAATTTTGAACTTTTTTTCAAAGCAATCGCGCTGCTTTAGCTGCATACAGACAAAATATCAAAGCGCGTGAGCGACGCATAGTAGTCTTACGGATAAACAATGTTACTGAACCCATAGAAATGTCTATAAAATATCTGATAGTTTGATGTAAAAATATCTAGTCAATATTTTTGACCACCAAATGGTATTTTTTTCCCTAAATTTTAATTAGTTCCTCCTTTTGTAAAAACAAGTTATATGTTTTTTGAATTATTAAAATCAGACGCTCTGTTCTCCTAAAAACCGAGTCACTCTGTTTGGCACTTTTTGTCTCGTATCTTCGAAATGGCTAGGCCTGCCTGTGCCAAAAACTAATCGGCATGTCTCCCTATCAATAGGAATAGAATATTTTTGAATCATTCAAATGGGATGAACCGTGTTTCCAAAAATCGTAGACAATAATTAGTATCCGAACACACACACACATACATACATCCATTTTTTTAAATTATGAGGTATGGAAAAATGTACAAAAATATTTTCATTTCTTTGCAATTACTATAACTTATATATTAACCTACGGGAAATTAAAGAAGTTATCAATTTAATTATTTGATGACAATATTAGAATCAAGTTACTGATCAAATACTAGTTATGACGTTGACGTATGTATGTATGTACATATTTAGACATGTTATATTCTTTTTCATCATGGTTTCACAAATATTATGTTTCACCAGGAAATTTTAGAATATAAAGTGATAACCAGTTAACTGTGTTTCTCACTTCGAATATTGGGCACAGTTTTGTATCGTCCAAATCGAGTGTATATTCGCCCATACAGAATAAGTTGCGACAACTTATTGTATAAAAAATATTACCAATACTAATATAATATAATAATATTATATTATATTAGTATCGGTTTATATTACGAATGTTATTAAATTAAAAAATGATATTAGGTACTACATTCTACTTTTCTGTTAACATAAGCATAACATACGTATTGACCTAAAAACGGATTAGTATCCATGAAGTATTACATATGCAGTTGCAAAAGAGTGAAAATAGTTATTAATTGAAACTCTAAACTATTTTTAAAATAAACAATAGAAAATGCTATGCAAAATTTCAATTCTTATTAAAAACATAATTTCCACTTTTCGAGAAGTTCATGCACCTGCCTTAAGGTAAAATGCCACTTATAACTCTTTCTTTTATACAAAGATAGCCTCAAAATATTCTAAACAACTTAATATTTTAGAGTAATTTTGTTTATTTAACAAATTCAATTTAAATTGCAAATGGTCAGTGTTTTTACACGCATTTCGTTAATGCACCTGTTACTTCCCCATAACGAGTTTATTCGTTTAACACTGTTGACAGGCAAATACGTAATTTAAAATTCATTTTATTTTAAAACCTTAGTTTAATTTCTACACCTCTTTTACATAAAACGAAGAAGTTTCGCTATCTTTATTAAGAAAAAACTGAAAATTGCATATAGACAGCTCTATTATATGAAGCACTGTCGATATAAAGCCTGAAACTGCAATATTCAGAGTGTTTTAAGACTATTAAAATTTTCATGCAAGTGCAGCGCTGGATTTATTTACATTATTCTTCGGGTATATGGAAATTTTATTCACTTCCATTAAAAGCGACTTATGATGAGTCATAGTGCTTTTGCGCATTTGAAGAAGAAAAGTAAATACGGTTTCTTCAACGATGCTAGACAAAAGTATTTTTTTAGATTTATGTATATCAAACCAATAATTATTTAGTTAATAAGTAAATCATTACCATTTCCGCCATTGCCTTCATGTCTTCCTCTTTTCTTCCGCCTCATTTTTTTCCTGGAATACGAAGCTAGAAGGACGCCTTTCCTGGCGTCTATTCTCTTCTGAGAATTTTTGTCTAATTTTCGTACATCTAGACATGAAGGATCGAAGCTAAACGTCGAATCATCTCTGTGCTCTGTAAGATCTTTTTTACGTTCCTGCGAAATTGAAAGCAAATATCTTTTATTGATCTGTTATAACAGAATATTTCGAAGGGCATTCTGATATCAATAGATAAATGTATTTATTTAAATATCAAAAAATATGTTGACTTGACGTAAAAAGAAAATATTAAATTGTATAAATATTAAAATGTAAAAATAGATGTAGTTAAAATGCCAATGCATGAAATACAGCATCTCTAATAAAACAAAGCATAAATGATACTCAATACTATCATTAATTAATAATGATGAACGATAAATACGTTTATAACACCTGAATTCATGCAATTCATTCATTATCATAAATAAATTTAATCAAATAAATGTATTCAGGTTTTCATATGTTTACCAAGCCGAATCAATGCAGCTCTTGAGCTCTTGCAATTATTATTAATTAATTTAATAAATAAATAATGTTTTGTAATTGAAGTTTTAAAAATATAAGTCTAAAATCATTATCTCCTTCATCATATTTAATATCTAAATTTATTAAATTCATAATAAATATTTGGAAAGTATATTCAAGTCTCTGAAAATAAAAACTTAAATTAATTAATTAACATTATTAACGCCATGTCAGTCATATTTGTCTGACACTAAGAAGTTCCACATGAATCATGTTACACATATATGTTTGACATACGCAATTTGGTATAAGACCAAAATTTTTATTAGAAAGGTTTTAACATTTTATTTATCATAGGTCCTAGTGTTACATAAAAATTGTGTTTTTCCACAAATTTTAGAATTTTTTTTCAAGTAAAACTTCTTTAGGCGCAACTAGAGTGTAAATCCCTATAAATGCAACGGAAGTGCGTTACGGCAGATAAGAGTCGATAAGATAAGAGTCCAGTGCCAATGATTAGACATTCGCTCTCGATGATATCATTTCTATTCGGGTCGATTGTGATTAGTCGTCGTGTATGTAAATAGAGATCTGTAGTTGTATGCGTACCGATACCAACAAGGAAACGACATAGATAAAAAACTAGCAAAAAATGAATCAGAATAATATTTTACCCTGTTCCTTGAAAATAATAAAAACAAATTAATAATAAGAAAATTAATTAAACAATTAAACGTAATTAAATGAATGTATGTTACTTTTACACCATTACACACCATTACATGATGAGTGAAGTTGCAAAAGCAATATTTGTTTCAGCGTTGTTTAACATAATCCACTGTGTAAACGAATATTATAGAATTTATTAATCAGCAATTACTTCATTTTTCTAATTAAGGTTCATTTCTAAATGCTAATTACAATGACAAACCGATCATGTCTTATTTGAAGAATGACTTTAATTATATTATTGTTATTAAATATTATACATATTTTTAATGCTATTATAAATATATAATTTATAATTTATCATTATATAAATGTGTATAATGGTTAACACTAATAAATGTGTGCATCACGAATGTTACCATATTACTAACAAACATTTTTCAAAAGTGTTATATGATGTATTTATTTTTACTTAACCTAAATTTGCTACTTTGTACAGTAGCAAATAAGTTTTACTTCAATCGCGTGTGATCTTTACGCGATTACGTGATATTTTAAGTTTTCTTGATACATTTTAACTAAAATATCTAATAAAGTTATCATGGCCTATGTAAAAAAAATCTGATAACGTATTACTATAAAATTTTTATTACGCATAAACTGTGTTTACTTATACTATTCAAGAGTATGATAGATAAAGATTTTTACTTCACTGGATGGATCAAAACAAACGACTTCAATCGACTAGAACAAAACTAGAATTGTTTCGACAATAATTTTCCACTAAGATTACTAATCCGGAACCTATATTTTTCTACAGCCTTATACAACTTTTACGCAAAAAGTTGTAATGGAATTTTGGAAATCACCTCTTGCGTAATTTCCGCTTCCTCTTCGTAACTCAGCGCGACGACGGCGAGCATTAAGTTTATGAGGTAGAATGAACCAAAAAACACAACCACGGTGAAAAATGACACACTCATCGGGCCACATGATGCTAATACCTGGAAAAAGAAACAAAATATACTTTATTTTTATATAAAATTTTGAGGGTACATTTATACATGTCTTGAGAATACACAATAAAAATTTTGAAATAAAATATTAAATATTTTTGAAATGACATGCAATCTCCGGCGGCGCCAAAAAAAAGGTCCTCCACTGCTGGAGTGATTGCAGCCTTCTCCGTTAACTAGATAATATTGTTTGTACAATGACCTACGATAAAAATAAAAAAATTAACAGTATGGCGGTATGTTAAAAAAGATAGTCGAGTTTTACCCAAAATTTTAATCGTTTTTGGCCTGCCAAAATTCGATTTTTAATCAGATAAAAAAATCGATAGGTCATTGTACGGAGAACTATATATAGAACATGTGAAAATTTTCGATAGTGATGGGATCATTTGTTTTTGAGTAATCACTGCAGCAAATTCGGAAAATGCTGTTTCGAGTTTAACTTTAAGTCCATTGCAATTAACGAATACACTAATTGCATAAATATAGAAAATTGGATATATTATCTTATATTATATTGGATATATATCATAAAGTATCAAGTTATCTTTAGACTATTCTCATAAATGCTGCAGCAGTGATTTATGGTCATTTTTTTAAGTTTTCATATTTATTCACTGAAATCTGTTTAAACATTTCTAGAATCACTTAAACATTAAACACTATGTTTATATTTTTTTATCATATAGTAATTTTTACGCCTGTCCTGTAATGAACAACAACAAAAAAACTGTAAAGAAAAAACGAATTTGAAAACACAAAATCTACTAAGCATCGTCAGAGATTTTGAAAATTGGCTATCAATTTGGAATATTTGTATTTAATCATATATATTATTGTAATAAATGCAATATTGCAGAAGCCAGCAAAAATTCAATGCTTTTAGCTAATAACAACAAACTATCATTATTTAAATTGCAAAGCTTTATTTATATTTCATCAAATAATAGTGAGCACTGAGTTATCCGTAACTAGTCGTTAATAAATAATTTGTTAATTAGACCTTATTATGAGTATTATATTTAATATTTATATGTTTACATTTAGCTCTTTTTATTCAGAAAAGAAAAAAAATTGTATAACCAGATCACCGGAAAGAAAAATGGCAATATTTGAAAATTCTTAACGAAAGTATTTTCTATCATTGTTAGTTTTTTTGGTCGTGAGCACCTTTGTTTAGCTTAAAACTCCTTTATATAATTTATTAATAATTTAATTAATAATTTATATATTATATAATTATATAATATAATTTATATAATTTGTATAATATTTAATTTTTATGTCTATGTTATTTAAATGTTTTATAAGATGTATTGTTATTTTTTAAGTTTGATTTAAGTTTGTTTTTAATATAATCTACTCTTTAAAAGCCTGCATGTGGGTAGGGTAGAAAAAACAATCTAAGCCTTTGCCCTGGCAAAGGTGTAAACAATAAAATAAAGTGAACAAAAAGTAAATTAAGTTAGAAAAATCAACTTTAAAAGAAATAAGTTGAATAAATAGTTATTCCAACTTAGCCGATGAATATCTCTGACAAAATACCACATCAAGGTTATATACAGTGTTATCTTTGTAAAAATGTACCCATAAAATTTAATTTTGCATTGGCTGAAAAATGTTTAAAAAAAAATTATTTCGCAAAAGAAACAAGTGACAAATTTTTGAAACACAGTGAAAGAATATTACTACAATGATAAATTAATAATTGAAAGTTAATATAAAATGTTTGTGCCATTTGTAGGTTAGGTTTTTTTGTGCGGAACGCTCGATTGAAAAGCAAATGCATAGATTTTTGGCTGATCGTGACTAGTGTTAGAAGTATCGAGGCAAAAGATCGATATTGAGTACTTTGAAAAGTATCTAATCAAAATATCGATGCCAAAAAAATATCGTGGCAAAAGTATCGATATTACTCAATATCGAATTTTGAGTACTTTTCATAAAAATCAAACATAAGTGCAAGAAAGATCTAAAACTCATTAAATATTATATCACAATATCAGAATGAATTCTATTGCTTGTAATCTGATGTGTTAAATCAGAATCATTTTCAATATTGTAAAATTTTAACAGTAATTTTTCAATACTAATTTCAAATTCTATAATTTTTCAAAAAAAAGACAAGTTATAATAGTTGATTATTTTTGATTAAAACAATATAATATTCTGATACTATATTCAAAAAGCAATACTTTTTAAGTATTTTTAAGCACAATCATATTTTTAATATTTTTCAGTGCAAACAATTGCCACAAGAACCAAATTAATTTATTATTTTCTAAAAGTTTTTTGCCCACTATACTAAAGAAAGTATTCTTTAGTTTTGTTGTCATTCATTCAGAAAAGGTCAGTTGAAATCCGATTCCTAAAATATGTTCATAATGTGCACAAACTGAAAACGAGACATTTTAAGATTCACGTACCACAAAGAAAATATTGCTCTTCTGTTCTTTTTTAAATTGTTTATTTAATTTTTAATTTACAAGTACTTTACTTCAACTTACAATTCACATACTTTTAGAAAGAAAAATAATAACGCATTGAAATCTATGAGTATTATTATTTGAAATAATTATATTTCGATTCTTTTTTACGCAAAATACTAATATATTGAAATTGATGAATATTATTATTTGAAATAATTATATTTCAATTCTTTTTTAAGCAAAATACTAATATATTGAAATTGATGAATACTATTATTTGAAATAATTATATTTCGATTCTTTTTTACGCAAAATACTAATATATTGAAATTGATGAATATTATTATTTGAAATAATCATACTTCGATTGTTGAATATGTTTTTATAAAACATTTTGGTACTTTAAAAAGGCGTTTCATTTTACAAAAGAGTAATAAATAAACATCTTTATTTATTAGTGTGGTCATATCCATTTTGGGTTTTTGAGCAATAAATTCTGAGACTAATGACCCTTCGGGATCATTTTTTGACACTTCTCTGAACAATTATGACCACCTAGAGAGACTATTGCATTGCATTCGGCAAAATGGTTGGTTTTCATAGTTGGTCGATAAGTGGGGTTCATAGATTACGCTGTCGATTCTTTTTGAGTACTATCGACGTAAAAGATCGATATTGGCAAACATATCGAGCTAAAAAATCGATACCAAAAGTACTCACTATCGACCGCAAAGTATCGATATTTACTCAGTACTCGATATTTCGTTCTAACACTAATCGTGACTACCAACCCATACGATTTTTCAACGATACCTGTAACATAACATTTATATTTTATTAGATGAATTGTCCTTATATTTTTCAACGAAAGAAAAAAAAAAAGAAAAGAAATTCAACGAAAAGTTCATTAGTCTGCTCAAGTTAATGTATATAATATTTTATATCATAGGTGAATGTTTTTAATCAATTATTGAAACCAGTTAAAATTTCTAAATGAATTCAAGTATCATAATAAATTAGTATATTAATAACTAGAATATTATTATTAATTAGAATAATTTTTATAAGATATTTAGCATAAAGTGTAAAGAAAAATAATCACTGCAGAGAGATCGATGGTCAAAAAGTCTAACAAAAGAAGCAAACGAAATTGCTATCATAATATTAAACAACAAAAGTAGTTTAAAGCAATTTCCATATTCAATTTTTTGGGAGTGTTGCTGAACATAGTCCGATAGTGGTTTATTTGATACCTATGCGTTATTTGTTTTGATATAATTGATTTGGTTTTCACAATATAATTGCTCAAAGTCAAATTGGATCTTCATGTCCTGTCCTACCCTATATATAATATTTTAACTAATTAAATTTACAATTTATTAATAAATTGACATAAAAACGTGTTACCTCGATATATGATTTAATTTTCTTTAAATTCAGAAAATATGTATTTAACAGTTTCAATATAACCGATAGTTAAAATATTTAATATGTATTCTGACCATGCAATTAGATATCATAAATCTGTATTTGTTTTGTATATAAAAGTTTTACTTCAATTCAAGTTTTTTGTTTTAATTCACGCATATTAGAGTATATTACATTATTTATATCTCTTATATTTATGGAGTTCAGAAATATCAAACCTTTTTAATTATATGTTAATATGCACTTTTACTGCGCTGTATTCAAAATATTTTTCTTCAATAGAGTTTTGCTTACGACAGAAAATATTACGAACCTAATAAAAATCGGCGAGGCACGCATGATTTATTGTTGCAAGATCCGATATTCTTGTATAAATCTTGCACGTTCAATTATAAATAATTACGATAAATTTGTTAACTGTATTCGTTTTGAGCTTGTTTTTTTGTATAGAAGTTTTTCTTCAATTCATTTTTTTTGTTTTTATTCACGTATATTAGAGTATATTACAATATTTATACTTCTTATATTTTTAGAGTTCATAAATATCAAATCTTAATTATTTGCTAATATGCACTTTTACTGCGCCGTATTCAGAATATTTTTCTTCAATACAGTTTTGCATATCAAAGAAAATACCATGAACCTAATAAAAATCAGCGAAGTACGAATGATTTATAGTTTCAAGATCCGATTTTCTTGTATAAATTTTGCACGTTCAATTATGAATAATTGGGATAAATTTGTTAACTGTATTCGTTTTGAGCTTGTTTTGTATATAGAAGTTTTTCTTCAATTCATTTTTTTTGTTTTTATTCACGTATATTAGAGTATATTACAATATTTATACTTCTTATATTTTTGGAGTTCATAAATATCAAACCTTATCAATTATTTGCTAATATGCACATTTACTGCGCTGTATTCAGAATATTTTTCTTCAATACAGTTTTGCATATCACAGAAAATACAATGGACCTAATAAAAATCGACGAAGTACGTATGATTTATTGTTGCAAGATCCGATTTTCTTGTATAAATCTTGTACGTTTAATTATGAATAATTGCGATAAATTTGCTAACTGTATTCGTTTTGAGCTTGTTTTGTATATAGAAGTTTTTGTTCAATTCAATTTTTTTTGTTTTTATTCACATACATTACAATATTTATACTACTTATATTTATGGAGTTCATAAATATCAAACCTTATCACAATTATTTGCTAATATAATATAATAAAATATAATGCACTTTTACTGCGTTGTATTCAAAACATTTTTCTTCAATACAGTTTTGCATATCACAGAAAATACCATGAACCTAATAAAAATCGACGAAGTACATATAATTTATTGTTACAGGATCCGATTTTCTTGTATAAATCTTGCACGTTCAATTATGAATAATTACGATAAATTTGTCAACGACGATACAATCGATGGCGCATGTTAATCACGCAAGAAGGGCGTCGGGCGCCGCGCGTCTCTCGAACGATAACTCCTTCGCCTTCGCAGGCGTCCGCTTATCGCTACTGTAGAAGTACTTATTGCTAATCGCTTAATAAGAACATCAAGACCCGGACGACTGAATCGCGCCGTGTTCGAAGGTATTAGAAGGATTATACCTTGAAATATCTCGAATATCCTTAACAATATAGAAGAGATGGTTTTTCTAAGATATTAAGGCTGGATTATTATATCGACATTAAATTCTGATTTGTGTTACGAATTAACGGCTTATATACATGCCAACTTGTGTTATATAATCTGAGAATGATTGCGAAAACAATTAAATTGTTTCGGACAGTATTTTAAGTCAAATAAGAATCACAAGCAAGAACACTTTGCGCGTTTTGCACAAACATTTGTTTGATTTGTATTTATTTGAAAACGTCTCAGTGGTGGCGTAATCGTTTAGGACATAGCCAACTAGTCCGGGGTTCGATGGTTCGATTACCACCACCGCCAAATTCCGACATCAGGCAGCTTTGATGTCAAACTTCCACTTGAGGTTATAGATCTCAACATATTTTCAAGGGAAAATAGTCTCTGATGTACATAGCTGCAACATTCTATTATATGACAACAATTAGACGTAAGAGCTAATATGAAGCCCACAAATAAGAGAATGGTATGCTGATGGGTTACCTCTCATCAAACATTAGGTGAGATCTTCTACTAACAGTTTATAGGTAAAGTAGTTGTTCGAGCCTCACAAATTTTATTAATCCATCTTCCTCTACCTGACATAATAAAATAATTTCCTACCCTAGTATAGGCACTAAGCTAGTTATAAGAAATTTTTCATTCTGTACTTATACCTTGGCCCGATCACACCTTATACAACTAACTAAAATTAAATACAAATGATTACTGAACTAGTTATTATTTTCCTTTCAGTTGTTTGCTATTTTATGTTTGATATAGCTTTTTTGATAATTAATTATATCTGGTCCTTCGGGGTAGTAAAGTGTCCGTGTATAGTGATTTTTAATTGACTTTTTTTTAACAAACATTGCGTCGGACATGTAAAGTTAAGTATTTCTGTTGCTGTTGAAACAATGCATGATAATTTAATACATTTAACTTGTGATGCACATTTTTCTGCATAGTGTGCATCGCCATTTATCAATTTTATATGCAAATTCATAAAACTTCGTATATACTTACATATACATACAAAAATGGACTAACTAATATTTCTATGCAATACTACTACGGTCATTAAAACTTCTTTTATAATATAACCAGTTTTTAATTTATATATCAGGTATTCAAAGAATGTGGTTTATAAATTAAGATATTACGGAGAAAATCTCGGATAAAATATAAATGTTTTATTACTATTAGATAGAGCATTTTATACATAAAACTCCAAAATGTGAAAATGGTCAAATAACAATGTTGCCATAAGTGCAACTATCTGTGATCACTTTGATAACACACGCGTGAAGTCTAACTAAAGTAATATTCTGACGTTTGTGCCATTGGGAGGTTAGATTTTTTGTGTGAAACGTTCGATTGTATTAAATACATAGTTTTTCAGCAGATCGTGTTGATAATCACAAAAAATAATCAACAATTGAAAAACTCATACGATTATTCAACAAAATTGACCTTTAACATAACATTTATATTTTATTCCAAAAATGGCCCCTACATTTTATTCAAGAACTTTATCAGTATGATCATGTAATAGTTAATATTTTATGTGATTGCAGAATGTTTTCGATCAATTATTGAAAGTATTTTAAATTTCTAAATAAATTCAAGCATTGTTATAAATTAGGATAACAATAACTAGAATATTATTATTAATTCGAATAATTTTTATAAGAAATTTAGGATGGAGTGTAAAAGAAAATAATCACTACAGACAGGTCAAAAGCTAACGGAATTTTTACCATAATATTATACAAAGTCCACCTTCAAAAACTAGTTTAAAGCAATAAAATTTCCATTATTCAATCATCATTTTGTTCGATAAATATCTCTTTCACCATCAACTGTTTTTATACCCTTTTTAACTAGAACATTTTATCGTGTTTTTATGTCCCAGTTTTAAATTTTTATTGTTATTTTTTATTATGCAGAGCATTGAAAAGTATTATAAATTCATTACGCGTATGATAGGTAAAGCTGCGATTAATACTTTGAGGGATACATTTTAATACCGTTTGTTTCCAAATCGATATACAACTGGCATGCAATATTAAATATTTAAAAAATAATGCATACTATATGTTTTTCAATTGTTTTTAAATGTTTCACTATTGAGATTTTCAGTATTGAAATCAAAACAATAATTTAATAAAAAGCATTTCATCAATTTGATTTAACGAGGCTTGCAGTAAAAAATTAATATCATTTAACAAATAAAAAATAAAGTAATATTTTTCTATTTGTAAATTATAACAAAGCACTTACCATATTATAAACGTTCTCCCAATAATCCAGAGTTATCAATTGAAATGTGGTCAACATCGACCACATGAAATTATCAAAATTCGTATATCCATTATTAGGATTTTCTCCCACGCACAAACACGTATAATTGCCAGGGCAGTGCCGCGCCCCGGTTAGATTTCCGCACAATATGGGTTCATCTTCTTCATCCAATAACCAATTTTCTGGACTCCACGTCCAATTGTGCCACGCCTTGTCCAGGCTTATATTACCGTAAATTTCTGGTGAATAGAATAATTCAGGCGGATCGAGAACGCATTTGTTCCTCAATTCACCCATGTAAACTTGCAAGGCAAAAAGCGCGAAGACCATGAGACAGAATATTGTCAGTGTCATTACTTCGGCGAGCTGCTTGAAGGAGTGGAGAAGCGCGTTTATGATTGTCTTCAGCCCTGGAAAACGATATCGGTAGTGGATATCATTATTAAATATAACTTTGTTATGAAATTCTGCACATCACATTAGGGGGCGTCCATTAATCACGTGAGGTTTTTAGGGGTAGGGGGAGTTTGACAAAAAATCACGAAATATCACGTGAGGGAGGGAGGGGTATAGCAAGATATCGCGTGTATTTTTTTTTTTTTTATATTTTTTATAAAAAAGTTCAAACATTTTCAAAAAAAAACATAAATTTTACAGTTTTTTCACGTAGCTAAAAATACACGTGATATTTGGAGAGGGAGGGTGGGTAATTTTGAATATCACCAAATATCACCAAGGAGGAGGGGGGGTCTAAAAATCCTCAAAAACTCGCTCACGTGATTAATGGACGCCCCTTATATGAAATTGAAAGTGAATTTCAGTTGAAGATAAGAGAAGAATCTAATAAGATTAAAATAATTTTCTTATTGGTATTTTGTATTGATATACAATGGTAAAATGACTTTTCTTAATGTTAATTTAGTATTCTCATTAAAGCCCAATATAAATTTTCTTGTCTTTGCAATATTTTTATGCCAACCTATTATAATTCTTAACGTTTGATCCACATACATGTATTACATACAAATATCAAAAATATCTAATTTTCTAATAACGATTTATAAATTACAGAGCAAATGGTAAATAAATAAATTTAATAATACTAGATATAACCACTTTCCTAAAGAGCGCTTTTTGCAGGACTGTCACTTATGTACAAAAAAGCGTACCCCTTCGCCCTCTTCCTGAAAAGAGCTTTTTGCTGGAATGTCACTTATGAACGAAAAAGCGTGACCAAGCACAACGACTAAGATATTTCTATCATTATCAACAAAAATGTGTTGAAAAATTAAGATTTATGATTCTAATGAAGTAGAAATTACAATAAAAAACAAGAATTCTCCATAGTTCATCTAATAGTGATATTTCTTAAAACAAAGAGAGATACGACATGTCGTCGATGGACGACACTCGTATATACAGGTACTTAAGTAATTGTCTTTCATGGATGACACATGTTGCTAAAGGGTTAAAGTTAATGATAGTTGTTCATATACTGACAGGATAAAAATCTTTTTTCTTTGAAGAAATTTTAATAAAGTAAAAATTACTGACAAAACTCTAATAGTTAATCCTTAGCATTTCATACTAAAATCAATTACACAATTTTCCAGTTCTCTAAAATATTGCAAAAATTGAACTATTAAGTGGGTATTCTAGTGTAGAGCGATGAATTTTAGGTCATTTTCAAAGTGTCGTAAAAGAAAGCAATGCATGTTTTTACTATCTATTTTTTCACCACCTTGCTTATTCATATTATTAAAATACAAAACAAAAATTAAAAAATACAATTGTAAAAACTGGCAGCTGATAAAGTGTGTGGTCTCAAAAAATTGGCACCTCAGTCTTGACATGATTTCAGGCCTCCTAGCCATCGGAAATACCAAAAATAAAAAAATTATTAATCTACGATGATGTCGCAATCGCCCGAATTAGCGATGAGTAAAAAGATTTTTTTTACAAATTGGCGACTGTTTGAAAAAAAAGTGTTTTTTTTTGGAGATTTTTGAGTTTTTTAAAAATAGTAAAAACTGGAATTTGTGGATAATCCTAGTTCGGGCTATAGATAGCTCTATAAATAAGACTCTCTGAACATTTCAAGTAAATCGGTCGATTAAAACTCGAGAAATCGTGTCAACAGTACTGAAAAAGTTATGAGAAAAACGCATTTAAAGATTTTAAGCCAAATCAGTATGGAGACCGAGTCAGTAAAATGCCTATATCTCCGAAAATAATTCAAATTTTCAGAAACCTTCTCGTACCCATATCCTTAGATAGTTAAACTTTAAAAATATAAAATAAAAAAAACAATTATTTTGAATTTTTACACTAGAATACCCCCTTAATTTTATCTAAGAAATCAGAATAATGTTTCCTGATAAACATTTCAAAATTGTATATTATACAAAATAAAATAAATATGCTTTACTATGGTAAGCGAATGTTCTCAAGGTATCCAATTACATACCAGGCATTATGGAGACGGTTTTTAGTGCTCGAAGTACCCTGAATGTCCGCAACCCGGCCAGATTTCCCATATCGAGGCCTATGGTCGCATAACCCGATGTGATGACTACAAAATCCAGCCAGTTCCAAGGGTTCCGAAGGTACGTATATTTGTTCAGGATAAAACCCTTGGCCACCGACTTGATCAGCATTTCGGCGGTGTAGATCGCGAGAAATATGTACCTGAAACAATACCGAAGTTAACGACTTGGATAAGGATAATAGAATATTTAATCGAATTAAAATAGCAAAAACATGAAGTAAATGATGTAACGTTATTCTTTCCCTCTATAATCTAAGTCGATATCACATCCCGATTATTTCTAATATTTTCTGTTTAAATTGAACACAACTTTAGACATAAAATTAATAATTTCTTCATAAGTGATCTTTATGTCTGTTCCTTTTATATTAATCTTTTTTCTAAGGTTATTAAGGTTTTTTACACTTGCGTGATAGATAGCGATCGCATATTGTGTGTTTAATGATAATGATGTTAGTTAGCCAAAGGGCCAATTTGGTTATAAACGAATATATACACGCACGTAGGTATAATAATTTATACACATACACATATATATATATATATATATATATACAGGGTGTCTCAGAACTCAACATCAAGCCGAAAAGGGGTGATAGTATTGATCGTAATTATCGCGTATAAAATTATAAAAAAAAAATCTCACGTAGTTTGAAAATTTTGATCTTTTCAGAGCATCCTAGAACTTCGGTGAAAATTTAACTAATTTTTGGTAATTGTGGTTAATTTTTATTGATTTTGTTTATTTAAGCATTGAATCCGTATTCCTAAATTCTAGAAACAATTCTAGAGCAATAAAAAAAAAAATGTCACAATCACCTCAAGTTTTCAAGAGCTACGACTTTTTTTTTAAACTATGAATTTAAAATTTTTCAAAAATGGTTATCTTTGAGAGGCCCTCCTTTAGCAAAAACCATGTTATTTTTAGGTTTTCACTTTTTATTCGATTTTTTTAAATTATGAATCTATCAAGTATTTCACCATTTTACAACTTGGGACAACTTTTGGTAAAAGCTAACACACTTTAGTGATTTTTTTTAAAGAGGGGCCTCTAAAAGGCGACCAATTTTGAAAATCTTAAATTCATAGATCAACAAAAACTTTTAATTCTTAAAAAGTTGGAATAATAGTGTCATTAATATTGAGCATGGTCCTAGAATTGTTTTATAGACCTATACAGATGCAAAGCTTAAAGCAAAGGAACAAAATTAAGAATAATTATCCACAATAACCACATTTTCTCGAAAGCTCTAGAGGTTTTACTTAAAAGCTCATAATTTTCAAACTACTTGAGAAATTTTTCAACTTCCCGTAGGGTAAGTTATAGTAATGGGCCAAAAATCGAAAATGAAAATCTTTACATATCTTCACGTTTTAGAGGTTTCTGAACATTTTGGCAAACCTCAGGAAAAATATATGTGTTTATGCGTATGTGTACGTATGTATGGATAAAATTTTTCGTCGACGTTTTCGGGAGTACCGCTCAACCGATTAGAATAATTAAAAAAACAATAGATTTCTATTGATAGAGAGATATGCTGATTAGTTTTTGGAAAAGGTTGGTCCAGCCTTTTTTGAGATATGAAACAAAGAATGCAGAAAATGGTAACTAGGTATCCGATTAGAATGATTTAAAAAACTTTCAATTCGCAATAAAAGGAGAAGTAATAAAATGATTCGTTTTTGATAAACAGAGGTGTAGCTGTTTCAAACATACGGAGCTAAATGTGTAAGATATGGCAGGTTTTGAGAGAATTTGTCTATAAAATACAAATAATAAAATTTACAGAAATTATAGTAATATATTTTAAAAAATTTGATAATTTTCGAATATTTTTATTACAGTATATTACAGTTCCACGAATTTGCCTCAAGGCACGATACCATACACCACCAGTTTATAATTTTAAGATGATATTTAGGTGGGAGGGAAAAACGTATCAAAAATATGAAGCTTTTGCAAAGCTTAGGAAAATAAACCACAGGCCCAAAGAAAAAGACCAATGAGTCCAAAACCAACGAAAGGTCACATTATAACTAAAACTATAGGTTGAGCTTAAAAGCTCCTAAATTTTTAAACTACTCGATATAATTTTATTCTACAATTTTTGACAATACTATCACCCCGTTTCGACTTGACATTGAGTTAAGGAATACCATGTAAATATAAACCATGAACAAGGGAAGGAAAAACGTATCAAAAATATGGAGCTTTCACACCTATCGTTGCAGAAGTATGACAAACAAAAATTAGACAAATATTTAAATTTTGCAATTTAATGAACAAGTAAGTTCTCATAAGTAAGTACTCATAAACTACTCGATATAATTTTATTCTACAATTTTTGACAATACTATCATCCCGTTTCGACTTGACGTTGAGTTAAGGAATACCATGTAAATATAAACCATGATCAAGGGAAGGAAAAACGTATCAAAAATATGAAGCTTTCACACCTATCGTTGCAGAAGTATGACAAACAAAAAATAGACAAATGTTTAAATTTTGCAATTTAATGAATAAGTAAGTTCTCATAAACTACTCGATATAATTTTATTCTACAATTTTTGACAATACTATCACCCCGTTTCGACTTCAGGTTGAGTTAAGGAATACCATGTAAATATAGACCATGAACAAGGGAAGGAAAAATGCATCAAAAATATGGAGCTTTCACACCTATCGTTGCGTAAGTGTGACAAACAAAAATTAGACAAATATTTAAATTTTGCAATTTAATGAACAAGTTAGTTCTCTTATAGATAATAAAGATGAATATTTTTTCTAAATTCTTTGGAAAGTATAAAGACTCGACTACCCTAGCGTCCTAATACTATACCATAAAACTATATTACTGTTTCCTCCATCTAATCAAACCAAACAAAAACATCGGAAAACAAATGTAATAACAGCAATGAATTATTGCCCGAGATGTATAAATTGTGCAACAAGCACTTACATCCATTACATGTCGGCGTGATGTTTTTGCCTGTGTCCCTGTGTCACGGTTGCGCGACAAGTACAAGTTCTCGTGCCGGTTGCGAGTTGCTCCGGGCACTCAGTTTTACGACAGATCAGCAAATATTTAATATCAAATGTAGAACTTTTCGAACACACAATAAATTCTACGAGCTTTGTTGGTGGAAATAACATGAGCGCAATTTGATTTTGCTGATAAAACATACAATTTGAACAAATAATTTGTTGTACACAATACATTTTCACTCAAATATTATTGTAGTTTTTGTTCAATAAATTTATGTTAAAATAAAAATAAAGCTATAAAAGATTAAGCAATAAATATATAGAGTAATTGATATATTTCAATCGATTTATACTATAGTACCAGTATAGCGGTGTACTGTTTGCCAATAAAATATCTCATTTATCATTTTTCTAATAATCTAATAAATAAAATCTAATAAAATATGCCCTGTGTAACGGGTGGTCCATTTAGTGGTCCTAGTGATCTAGTGATCTTGCGGTTTAAATATTTCTGTAAAGAAAACGTATAAAGTATTATACATCGTTAGAAAGGTCTCAAATTTTTTAGTTTTTTTTTATCTATCGCAACTTCGAATTCCGCACGGTGTGGCCTACAGGCAAGTTGCTATCAAGTTGCAAGTTTCGCGTGTTAAAAGGTCCACCACCAATATCTCAAAAACAAGTAAAATATGGAATTTTTTGACAACAATATTCGAAAGTAGAGGGCAAAAACTTTGCTTTGACTTTTGCAATGTCGCTATCAGGAGATAAACGAACATGTCTGAAAATTCATAAAAAAAGTTTTTTTTTTGATTATAAGTTTTTTTGGTTGTGACACTCTGTTGTTTAGTTTACGAGACCTAGATACAATTTTTATGTATACGCTATTTGTATTATAAGATGTATTTTATTTCAGAACAGTCTTTTTCGTGTAACCTATATAAAAGCTTGCATGTTGATAATGTAGAAAGAACCATCCTGAGCCTTAACTCTGGTATTGGTAAAAACATTAAAAAATAGTAAATAAAAATGTGAAAATAGTTAAAAAATTTATAAAAAACATATTAAACTACTAGTTATTCCAACTCTGTCGATAAATATTTCTGAAGAAATACCAAATCGGGAAAATATATACTATATTGTCCATGTAACAAAATCTGCAATGAAATTAATATTTTGCATTGATTGAATATTGTAGCTATTAACTCGACAAATCTCTTCAAAATTAAAAATAGGACAATGGCTTTGCTTGCCTTCTGACTGTCCTATTTTACCCCGCATATGGAATAAAGTTCGACTGATAACAAATTTTAGAAAAATAATTAATTTTAGAAAAGAACACATTTCTATTTTTATAAATTAACTAGGAGTTTTACTGAACATACTTATATAGTTGTTTATTGGATATATGTTATGTGTTGTAATGTAGTTTCTTTGGTTTAGCTTTAGACAGTATAATCACTTAAACTCAAATTGAACCATTGTGCCCCGCTCTACCCTACTTTATTTACCAAAATTGATATTGCTAGTATCAACCTATACCAATTTAGCTGTAAGGCTTCAAATAAGATTTTTTAAATAAATACAATTAAAAAATGAGCAGCATAACTAAAGAGCAACCATTTTTCTATTTCTATTCATTTTACAAATTTATATATTTTGTCATAAAAAATCAAACAAATTCTATAGTCACTCAGCTTCTTGAGACACCAACTTCAAGAAGAAGCTGCCCGAAGATAATACGGAGGACCCTTAGAACTATTATAACTCTATGTGAACAGAATAGTAGAATCACTTATTGAAGTGATTCTCGAAATATCAATATAATATTTATCAGATTAATTTATATGTGTGTTTGAAAGTGTGTGTGTATGTGCGCGAGTGAATGACATAATATAATATAAGCCAAATAGCTCATAGAATTGTTATGTACTCTGATTGCTATTGAAAATAAAATTAAAAAAAAATATTTTGTCTATTATATATTTCTAAGTATATATGTTTTTATAGAGTAATCTAAATTAGGTAAATTTTTTAAAGCAAATTTTACGGATATAAATTGACGAAGTTACGATGTTGACTTATTTTAAATTTTAATTTTTTTAATCATACATTCAACTTTAAACTTAATCATAGCGTATAATTAAAAACATATGCATTCAATGTATGCATTTGAAAAGCTCATATTTGTACAAAGCAACAAAAGGCAACTCATATATATTTCATTCTGCATATGAAATTATATTTTTTGATAAAATAAGCACTGTAAGTGCATCATGGCAAATGCGCAATGCATTTTCATCCTTGCAAACTTAATTTAATTTAATTTGATTGAAAGCCATTCAATTTCATGCACAGAAACACAGGAATAATAATACAAATGGGTCCACGCCAACGCGGGCGCGGAGGCAACCCGTTTGCGACTGATTTGACTGTGTTGGCAGTAATAACACAAACTACGATCTTCAACATTCGAGAAGAAGGGATCACAATAATCACAGAGAAAGTTTGTTGCATATTGCTGCCAGAACTTGATTATTGTGTCTATGATATCAAGTAAGTGTTTATATAGCATCCCTTAAGTTTACGATAACATATCTCGCGGATGAACAACTTTTAATTAAGATTGTATCAGCGTATGTTACGAGCTTTATGAGATTGTTGTAAATTACTAAACGATGCTTATTCGCTAAACTAACTTATAATATAATTGCAAGGTATTTCTGAGTACAATATCAAGCATCGAGATATATATTGATAAATGATAGGTATTTAAGCGTCTTTAGGTAAGGTGACCATATGTTTTTTTTAAGTCAAATCCGGAACGGCAATTTTCAATTATGCTAATCCGGGACGTCGGGGGGGGGGGGGGTGGTGTTAGTCGTTTATATAACAAATACTATTCAAGAATACAATAAAAAAACAGTTTTTTAAAATGAATCTTTTTTTATCATAATTGCGGACTTTTATTAAGAGTTTTATACTTCGACTATTATATGCAATGCTTCTTTATCTATGATATTATATCTTATATTTTTCGATCCATATGTTCTATTATATTTTCTTCATAGTTAATTTGAAAAAGAATAGCATTTGGCAGTTTATTTTCTTATATTTTGTTAATTTAAATATTAATTTTCGGAAAACCGGGACAAAAATCAAAATCCGCGACAAATATTACTTTAAGGAAAATCCTGGACACAAGGTGGAAATCCGGCACGTATGATCACCTTACTTTAGGACTTAATGAAATATAGTTACATATTTAGTATTATGTAACTGTAAAAAATTAATTTTTATAGTAATCACAGCCATAATTAACAAAAAATTCTTTACAACTTTATATTTTTATTTATTTACAATTAATAATTTAATTGATGGTTCAATGGCGAACAATCTCAAACAACCAGAGAAAACTTAACATTTGCCTTGTAGCATAGAATAAAAAGAAACAACTAAAATCGATATGGCATTTTACCTGAACCATAAAACACTAGTGTTTGAATCTTAGTTTTGGTGAAAAATAATAATTCATTTATCGAGAAGTAGATACATATTTAAAACATTACACAATTTTTAAATTTTCAAAATTCATATCCAATTCATTATTTCATTAATACTAGGTATTTAAGCGTCTTTAGGTCTTAATAAAATATAATTTTCATATTTAGTATTATGTAACTGTGGTAAATCAAGTTTTATCTTAATCACAGACATAATTAAAAATAATCTTTGCAACTTTATATTTTTATTTATTTACAGATAATCAATTTAATTAATGGTTCAAAGGTGAGCAATATATAGCAAATATCTTAAGCTTTAATTTAATAGCTTAAATCTCTATGACATTTTACCTGCACCATAAAACACGAGTGTTTGAATCTCAGTTTTGGTAAAAAATTGGTAACTGGCTTATCGAAAAGTAGATACATATTCAAAACATTACACAATTTAGAAACTTTCAGAATCTACTACTAGTCCATATCTTGCACTTAAAATTTTAGAAATGTTAAACAATATATGGCGCTATTATTGTAAATCTTAGCTCTAGTAGACAGGCCACTGGATGTATCTACTAATTCGTAATCAACTTTATTTCATCTTATGCTTGTCAGCATTTTCTCAATTAATAATATATAGATTGCAGAATAAAATTGAATAAAAAAATGTAAATTTAAAATATTGAATATACAGGGAAGAGGGAAGGTTAAAAATGCTCTTCCCCAATACCTCAGAGAAGGTAGAAGATAATATAATCAGCCATCCCCTTAATTTTTATGATGTTGCTATCAGCAGATTAAACAGTCAATCAAGCCAAATTCATAATAAATTATTTTTGTTGATAGGTTTTTGGGTTCTTTAGTTTATGGCACCTGAATTCAATTTTTT